TGTTATTTCAAAATAAAGAACAATGAAATTATTATACTTCATTTCATTTCATATTTTGTTTAATAACCTAATCGCTTGAAATGTCATGCAAGACAACGTCTGTTGGATCCGCTAGTATGAATATAATACACTTAATATTCACTGAAATATCAAAAGACAAAAAAATTAAAATGTCAAAATATAATATACACTTAATATAATACACTCAAATTAAAATGTAGAAAAATAAACGAAATCCTATGTAATCCTATCGTAACTTAATTTTTTGCGTGACTTAATTTAATGCAAGTAAATTAATGCTCAATATTTACGTAAATGCGATATGAATGAATACATACACATAATGATTGAAATGAATGAATGAATGAATAACAGACGTTGTCCTGTATGATATTTCAAGCAATTAGGATAAATTCATTCAAGTCAATCCAGCCGTTTAGTTGCATTATAGATAAATATTCCGATGGAACTTGCAGTTAATATAGCTGTTCCGCCCAGTTTTACCAATTTTCTATTGATTTTTTATCCCTATTCCTTTTTAGTTTTTGATGGTGTGAGTAATGAATCAAAAAAAATAGGTGAAAATTGGGTAGTCCATCTTCGGCGGAATAAATGTTCTATTGTGGCATTTTTTTTCATGATTTTCATACGAAAAATAACGAAATCTCGATTTTTTTTTAAATGGGGGGGTCGTTGATGGATTTCAAAGGAAGTTAAGCCTAATCTAATTTATCAGGGAGCGGGAAAGCGCGTGTACCGTATTATAGCTAATTGTCGTTAGCAGACGGCACGGTGTTTGTTTTATACCTTCATGTGAACATTGGCCGACAATTTATATTAATATAAAGTTAATAATTCAGTTGTTAATCTGTATGTATAAATATGAATCGATATGTTGTCGGTGCTGCCTTAACTTGAATACCATCTAAATTTCAAACTTTTCCGGTAGATTTTCCAAAAATCGTCTTTCATAATAACCTTACGAATACACGAAAAAAAAATCAGGCCTATCGGTCCGTCCGTTTTCAAGTTATGGCGTCGACAAAAAAATATCAATTCATTTATACATTTATACCTATATGCGTATTTGCCGATATATTCAAGTTTATATTTAAAAAAATAATAACTCGATTGTATTACTCTTGGCGCCCTCTGATGAATCTTTATTTATTAATTTTCTATCACAAAGAACATTTCAATTTTGGGACAACTTACGCGGAATATCTTACTAATTATTCATTTTTTTGTTTTTTAATTTCATCCGTATCACCAAGGNCAATTGTGAATCTAAACCATCCAGGGACCCATTCAAACGCACATAAAAAATTTCGTCAAAATCAGTCCAGCCGTTTAGGAGGAGTTCAGTGACATACACACGTACAGTAGAATTATATATATATAAAGATGTAAAATTTACCATTAGGTTTACCTATAAACTAAAGTGACCAAATGTGTTGTGATTTTTTTTTGCGATTGTTTGGCGTTTTTATGTCGTAATATTTATGAACGGCAGGCAGGATAATATTATTATATTGTTCCGACGGCGTATGCGGTGATGGTGATGATAATAATAATAATAATAATATAAATGCGATAATGCTTGACCGGGGACGATTTTATTCATTGCATATATCATTACATTGCTTTCTTTTCTTTGCTCTAAAGATTTCATATTGCCTGGCGGGGTGCAATTCGAATGCGCGCGTTTTAAATTCCTGGGTATACGAATGCGCGCACTGTCGTAATTATAACAAAGAGCATGATTTCGACCCTACTCTTACAAAGACGGACGACTGCGCGCCATATTGGAAGCGACTTTGTCAAATTTATTATACTATGCATCAGTGACTCCCAACTACTTCTATTCTACGCCCATTTGGAGATTTTCAAAAATCTCGTGCCCCCACTCCAATAAAATAAAAAATTGAATCACCTGTTTTTGTGTACTTTATAAATAAACTAAACAATATTCGGAATGACTACTTTTTATTTCGATGATAATAATTATACAATATAAATAATAGTGAATAATAAAATGGAACAATCTATTAAGGTGAAATATTATAGTAATAAATTAGTATAAAATATTAATAATAGTAAATAAAAAAATAAATGATGAAATTAATAATTGATGTTAATTGATGCTGATACTGACAACACTTTTCTTTGGTCAGTTTTTTTATGTTATCATAAATAAGTAGATGGAAATTATACAAGGACTTTTAATTTGCTTCATTTGAAATTTCAGGATAAATGGGTTGGTATTTTACCCAAAACTCTTCCAAAGAGCTACCGTATCGTATCGATTAATTTACACATAACGTGGCATAAAAAGTTTAAGTTACGCGCTGTGGCCAAGTATTAATAGTCTTTATCGGTTATTCGTTATTTATACCCGATAACGGATAAAGAGAACCGGAAAATTAATTTTTTTTCTCTACGTTTTAAAATAAATATAATTTAATCAATACAAATTATACTTCGTAATAAATGCTTGCGCCTCCCCAGCAATGTGTATACAGTTTTGGAACCAGTTTCCCCGCAGTTTGGGAACCAGTGTTATAAATATTAAAATAGAGAATTTACTAAAAAGAAAAAAAAAGAGAACCTCTTTACCAAGCCACGGAGAAGAAACTTTTTATTGATCTTATACATCAGAACTATGGAACAGTGGAAAATAAAAAAAACTGATACTATTAGTAGCTCAACCAAACAAGATCAGTGGAAAGTAATTGCGAATTTATTATATATTATTATATATAATCATTTCATTACAGAACACATTGTTTGCCGCGTTATTTTGTTGAACAGTTTCTCCTTTGTGTGTGTGGTGTGCGAACATTTGCTGTTGCGGGACAAATATCTGTAAACCTGTTTACTACACTACCTGTGTACTGTTAGGTTTAAAATGTATCAAGCATGTTACAAAAGATTCACGACCATGGTTTACGACCTATTGATAAATAATATATTATCTCTTTAATGCAGTGGTTCCCAACTCGGGAAATAATAAGCACGGACCACTTTTATAAATTTTTCACCGTCACGGACCACTCCCTGATTTCAACACCCCCCCTTTTTATATCACTTATTTTTTTTATAGTTTTATATATAGTTTATAATTTCTAGGTACAAAATAAAATCAGAAATACAGTTTATGTCATGGAAAAATATTTTAACTTATTTATTTAAAAATTTAATTAAATTAAAAAAGCTGATACAAATTTAAATTTTACATTTTACGAACTTATATTAATTAACTTATTCAATGAGAAAAAAATATAACAAATTTATANTTTTTTATAGTTTTATATATAGTTTATAATTTCTAGGTACAAAATAAAATCAGAAATACAGTTTATGTCGTGGAAAAATATTTTAACTTATTTATTCAAAAATTGAATTTAATAAAAAAAGCTGATACAAATTTAAATTTTAAATTTTACGAACTTATATTACAAAATAGATAGGTATGCTATCATCAAACGGTATTTTGGACGAGAACGCGCACCCCTTCCGCACTTCGTCCAAAACTGTGACGTAAGCCGTTCCCTGGTTTGATTGGTCTATATTTTCCTGCTTATTTGTATTTATACCATAGATTTAAAATAGCATTATTAATAATAATATTTAAACAAATTTAATTTACATTAAAATGTTTAAATATACATGTAAAGTTGGTTAGATAAAGCAATTATCAAAATGAAGTCTGAAGGTACCTACCGAAAAATTAATAAATTATATGCAAATTTTAGAAATAGCTTTCACACATTTACATAATGATGATTTAATCAAAACACTTTGGGTAATAAAAATATGAATAGATATAACACTACCAAAAATGAATCACCTAAATATATTTGTTGAAGTGATTAATTGCCTCGTACGAATTAGGGCATTTATTACTACTATTTTGTCACCATACTAATAAATATTTAAAATTGAAATAGATTAATTGGTTTTTATTTTCATTAAATTCGTGATTTTTAATTTTTTTTAGAGCTCAGAGCAAAAAAAAACGAACGAACATACTTCTCTCGGTAGGTGGTCCACTATTGTAGGAGAAAAGTTAGGATAACAAAGGAAAAATTTAATGTATACCTATACGCAAAGATTCATCACTGCTAATAAAAAACGATTCTGAGCGGAGTTCAGTTATACATGTTTTGATAGGCTGCAATATTGACGATTTTAAAATAATACATTTCGCGCATTTCTGGTAGAATTTTTGTACACAGGAGAAAAAATATAAACATTTTAGTAAAACCAATACATTCTTCGTTACACTCAAAATTTAAAAAAAACGTTTTGCATTGACCGAGTTTTTATTCGCGATTATCATTAAAAGTAATTATTTTTTATTTGATTACATATTCTATATTGTACAAAATAATATTTCATTATCTTAAAATTATCTTTTTATACGAAATAATTATTACCTTATAACCAAATCATTAAATCATTAAAGATGGTCGGTCGGGACCAATTGTTACGAGGTAAACTCTTATAATGTTAGATAATACTATCAGTTAGGTACCTTCATTGTACACCTTATAATAAAAAGTATTATTTACAATTCATTTTATAGATTGTTATAATGATCAGATATTATAAAAGAATGCAATATTATTTACCTTATTTTTATAAATTAAAAAATAGTTGATAGTTTTTAAGAAATAATTCAGTTTACAATTCTATAATTACTTTCCAGTAATTACAGTGTGCAGATTTTGTTAAATAAGTAGATAATATTGTGTATACAAGGTACATTTCAGCTAAATATTCATCTTTAATATAGACTTACTTAGTATCTATTATAATTAATAATTGGGTATGTCTAGTAAGGTCTATCATAATATACAAATCTATCTTGACTAACTTGTATCATTTTACCCCAGGTATGTAACATATTGCCCCGTGCTGGGGTAATGTGTTACAATTTTTTGAAAGAAGTTTTTAACTTGCAAATATTTTTTTTTTTACTAGTTATCATAATTACATCAATCATTATCATGTGTATCCAATGGAAACTAAAAATTAAGAATTATTTAAAATCACTAGTTTTATATTACCAGTTAAGTACAAAAATTCCGAAATTGTGTCATAATGACACTTTTCTGCAATTAAATTTTTAATTCGTCAAATAACCAGTGGTGGATCCCGGGGTCAGTAGTTTTTCAATAAATTTTTTTCATTAACATTAATGTAAAATAAAGTTTTAAAATATAAAATTTAATAATATCTTCTTCTGTACTCTGAATTTTATACGGTTATAATAAGTTACACATTTTATAGTTATATGATACAGGAAGTCAAACAATTTGGTAGTTGGTAGTATACTTTCTATACCTATATGTAATCTTTTGAGTACATACATAGACGCCTCAAAACTAAACCCCCTATACCTATTTTTAGTCATAATTTCATAAGACACCCAATACCTACCAGTGTATAAAAAGAAGGCTCGGTTGAGGCTATGGCCCAATTAGTCATACCTGTACGTACGCCTATGTCTGCAATGTAAATTGTTATATTACTGTTAGATGATTTCAATTTATAAAGTACATTGGAGAGGGAGTGGAGTTAAAGCACTGTTTATCAGTCTCTCAAATAAATAACTTTCATGTTTCACACACGTACATGAAATGATGATTAAGGGAGTAAAAACGTGTAGAAAGATTTGGTTTTTCCTGTAAGAAAACGTTTTAGATTTTTTTCGTTTAGTGTTTTCAATGTTTTTCTTTTTACTTTTCAAACCGGTTTCACTCCCTGCTGGTTATAACGGTCAGTAGTGAAATCGTATATATACGCGAATAAAAATTTCGGAATTATATTTTCCGGATAAATACGATTTTTAGTTTGTAGATTCTGGAGAAATATTTTCCACAGAAATACTCTTCAGGAATTCATTATTCGGTGCATCCTCTGTATTTTGTCACTCGTATATTTTACTCACCGGGTCATAGATGACACCACGTGACGGACGGTCACTCTCGACGACTGCCACGTACGTGCCGTTGACGCGGCCGTCGTCCGGGCGGCCATCTATTCGTTTGAACTGGTATCTGGACATGTGGCCAGCCATGAGTCGTGGTGGTTGTGGTGGCGGTGAGTGTGCAGTGGCCGGTACGATTGATGCGTCCGTAGGTGCGACGGCCGGTTCTTCAATCTCTTCTATCTCGTCGTTGCTGTAGTCATCTTCGTCGTCGCCGCCGTCGTCTTCGTCGTAGTCATACGTGTCCTCGGCGTCACTGCCTGTTCCCTTCCTTCGAGCTTTAGCCGTGGCCCTAATCTTCTCAACCACCTCCAAAATCCAATCACCCGAAGGCCACGACGACGACGTCACCGTTTGTGGCGTAGTCTTAAGTTGCTGCAGTTGTAACACCGGAGCAGTAACTTTCTGTGGGGGCGTAGGAACCATGGTCTCGGGCTGCCGTGGTGGTTCCGGGACCGTAGTCAACCTTTGCTTCCATGGCGCCGGCAGAACGGAGGTCTTTGGCTGTGGCAGTGGTGCTGACGACACGGAAGTAGACTTCTGTTGCGATAACGGAGGTGAAGCGGAAGTATTCAGTTGTTGTGATGGAGAAATTGCAGTATTTTGCTGAATTGGCAATGGCGGCGGTAGAGGTGGTAGTGAATTCGTCGTCGACGTTAACGGCACTGTGCCGGTCATCGAAGTCGTAATGATAGTAGGTGACGTAGATGCGACGGCGTCCGATCCTTCTGGCATGCCCATTTCTTCCCGACCCAACATATCTGAAACGTTATAACCACAGTTTTATTAATGACATGATCCACCGAAAGTCCGCGTATTCACTAGACTTGGAAGAAAATGAAAAAAATGAATATTCAAATATAATAATTGTGTTTATATTATATTACGTGGCTCAGAGTAGAATAATAATCTACTCTTAGGTACCTATAATTAGTAATTAGTATAGTCTTTATAGGTAATATTCAAAATTAGATACTTAAGCTCTTATAAAAATAAAATATATTACATTACACTAAAATTTTATTTTTTGACCACTAAGTATAACATATCATTGATTTTCTGTTAAATATTCAAGCAATTATTTCTGTTAGGTCAAACAATGAAATTCACATAGTAGGTACTTATCAAATAAAAACTACGTACGAAATTTGCAAACAAAATATGATTATTGGCTATTAACAGTTTAGAAATTGCTCAAACGTTTAAAAAAAGTCGCTATGTCTAGAAGAGGCCAATATTAGTTTTGTTAAAATTTTAAGTCGCTACAAATATTTTTAACTGAATTAAAACAAAAAACAAAATTGTAATAAAAACATTATTTTTGTAAATTTTTTACTACGTTTTTTTTTCAGTTTTGCTCAATTATTAAATAAACCACAACTAAATTAAAAATGCAATAAAAGTGGGTCTTTTTGTTTTTCTATTGGAGCAATACTTCCGATGGAAAACTTAAACTGTACAAATTTAAAATAATGGAATCGTACAATAAAAACACATTATGTACGTAGTAAAACCAATAGATCCTTCGCCATTTCCGGAATCTAAAAACAAGATTTTATAAAAAAATATTGTTGTATTTATATATTTTATTAAAATTCAATTTATCCAATTTATCGCTTATCTATTGAATTTATTCATTTATTAATTTCATATTTTATATGGAATAAAGATAAACATTTTAAAAGGGTAATGACAAAAGGAAGGGGCAAAATTATTTTAATCTGAAAGAATATAAAAGTTTTAAGTTTTTAGGAAGACAATTATTAAGCTATTGTATTGAATAAATATAAAACCAAAATATGTCCTGTAAATTGAGCAAATTTTTATTATGAATAAAATAAACAGTCATGTATAATACATATTATAACGATTTACAATATATAAAATAAATATTAAAAAAACAACAGTATAGAGTATAATATATTTTTTTTTAATAGAATAACTTGATTAATTTTGAATACTTACAAAACAAAATTGCATAATACTAAATAACACATTATATACGACGCATGTACCAGGTACGTGTATTACCTAAACCAATTTTTTTTTAACCACAATGTAAAACTTCTATATTTCAGCCGGTGAGAGAATGCTACTCCTTGACGCATCTAAATGAACGAGCTCCGCGGTTTTGTATCCAAATTTTTCCCATTCTACTACCTACTCACCGTAAGAATACGCTAGAACGGACGAGTTTTGTTCGTTCTCTCACCGTGCCGCCACACATATGATACTTCTCTACTCTCCCCTATCTAAATTTAAAAGTGAAATATCTCACCAACTAGTTGACGGAAATCAAATATTTTAACACCGACATTTATTTAAAGTAATACACAATATATTTATGGAATTTTTTATGAAAGTTCTCATTTGGAAAGCCAAAGTTGGTATTACCGCAGTATACTCCTTAAATGTCTGGAGAAATCTAAGTATTCGAAAATATCGGCTTAAACTACACTTACAATTCCGAAAATCAAAATTATTAATTAATTAATTAAATATATGCAAAATATGACCAAAAAATTAGAGTGAGCACGCTTAGTGAATCACTCTGTATATGACCGTGGAGGAAATTGCTCATTTCAACTCGTGCTTATCAAGTCACTAGGTTGCCAAGACCTTTTTGTTTTGTCTATTATGTAGTAGAGATTTTCTCCTTACACCAGGCACACGCTCGACTTAATGCATGATAATCAGTGCCCGTTTAAACTTAGCCCGGGAGGATTGAATCCAGAGATGTCAAACCTGTGGCTGCGCAATATCGATAATAAATACTTAATAAATATTGTATTCTCTATGAATTTTAAGTTTGTTGTATTACAACTAGTGATTATTTTAACCATATACTACACTCAGATCTTGGACTACAGACTGTCGTCGAAGTGGCTATATCTTCTTACAAGCGTTTTCTTTCTCGTCTTACGAACCACCAAAATCCACTTATCCTTGAACTTAACTCAGTAAATATTCCTGGGAATCCGACGAGAAAACTTAAAAATGACTTGGTGTCGTGATTTGGCTTAACTAAACTAATACACAAAAATAATAATAAAAATGTAAACTCATAATATTTGTATACGAGAAAATAGTTTAACAATTCATCGCGTCTGAGTGTTACTGCTTGGTAGCTACTCTCTTCAAGCTTTCAGGTCGTGTATATTATTATTTGTTTGTTGCTCATATGTTTATTGTAACCTTTATTACAGATAGTATATATTTTAATAAATGTTAAAAAAAAGTAGCTATTTTAAATTCTGAGTGAAGCGAGGGATCTATTAGTTTTACATTAATGTGTATTTCTCATTTTGTCTGTCTGTTAACAAAATTTCTTCGAACATTGTGTTGTAAGGATAAACCATTGCTATTTGAGCAAAATCATATTTTTTCATTGACAAAATACTCCAGAAATAATACTAAAATTTGCCAATTTCCCGATTTATTCAGAAAAATACAAGACAAATAAAAGAATAACTACCTCAATGCACCTACTAGATCAATAAATAGATACAATAAATAAGTTCCTATACTATTTTTAATTGGAGAACTGAGTAAGATATTTTTAGTAAAAAAGTTGTTTACAGATACATACGAAAAAAAAAATCAAATCGTAGTGAAACGATACATTCCTCATTTCGTTTAGAATCTAAAGAGACAATTTATTTAGGCAATTAATATAGAAAAATGTAATTCATTAATATAATACAATTTTAGTTTTAGTACGTAATTGTACAAAAAATGCATCAAATTAACACGGCTAAATATTTTTTGTGTAAGACAATTTATTTATTTTTTATGTTTCGTAGAGCCCTCGATAATGTAATATACCTTTAAATATTTTGTTATTAATGTTTAAACTATAATTTAAATTCTAACGCTATTATGTACGTTCTATATATTATATAAATAAAACAAAAAAATTACAGTTAGACGGATCTGGACTTTTATATTATTTTCGACAAGCTGTCTCGCATGGTTTTGTCCGTGCACAGTATTGAACAGGTAAACAAATTTACATTTATAAAAAAATAATTCTCTCCGTATAGATTTTAGTTTAAAAGTTGCAATATATTAGTTTATAGCTGTACCCGCGACTTTGTTCACATAATATAAATTTCACGGAGAATTCTCTACGGAGTGTAGGTACGCGGAAAATTATAAATTCACTAAAACTAACACAGAAATTAATACAAATTGAACCTGTTTTTTTTTCACCCGTATCGCTGAGGTAACCTGTAAATAAAATGTTGAACTATAAAACCGAAAATCAATGGTCATCGAATTTTCATCGGCGAATTCGAGTTGGGTTCCGTGATCAAAATTCTACACCAGTTGGGTTTATAAGGGAAATGTACAAGGTATAGTCATTTCACATTTTTTCACAGGATGCAGAACGAATATTGATAATACAACAGTAAAGTCGCTCGCTTTGATCACGTATCACATAAATGACAAAATTAATACATTTCCATATAAAGTTCTAATTTTAAACATTTAAATATTGTTTGTTGGTTATACCTACAATATTCAAAAAACTATATCAGTATCTCTTAGGTATCTATGGGTATTGTAAATAAACAGAAACTAATTGCGTATGAAGAAAGATAATTATTAATTAATATTATTAATATATAAATTCCACTACACTTAATAGTGTATAGGTAAAGAAAATTATATTTTTTAATAATAATACAATTTTAAAAAAAGAGCTGATATTAGGGATGGGAGTGGCCACTTTTGTAGCTGAGAAGTTGGGAAGGTAGGATACATGAGGTTATTTAATTTATATTTGTAAACAACGATAAACCATTGCTAGGCGCAGTTAAGTAATACATAATTTAAAATTCCGTATATTTTTTTTGCGATTTTCGTTTAAATTTGATTCCAAAACGCTTATTAAAAATAAAATTCGTTCGATGATTTTGGAAATTTTACCACGTCTAGGCACATCCAATGTAAGTATTATTACCAAGTTACAGGTCTCTACGTGTACTTATAACCGAATTAAAGCAAAAGAATTTAAATTCCTTAAAAGCTCTTAAGTTTTGGAAATGATACCGTAAGAAAGACAACAAAAAAAGTGGCTTGTGATTTTTCGATTAAATCATTTCTTCTGGTAGAAATCGTCGTCTGTGTTTTTATAAAATAATAAAATCGTAAAATTGTACTTTTTTTTTACCTTTTTTTCACACTTAAGTGCTTTTATTTAAAAATTGGCGTCGAAAATCAAAAAATGATCTGGATTATAGAAGTACAAGCTAGACAATTTGGATTTTCAAAAAAGTTGCTACACATAAAAATCGGAGCAAGTTTACTAGGAAAAAACGTGTTCACAGACTAAAACAAAGAACAAAGAAGAAGAAAAAAAAGAAATAAACAGCATTGTATAACCAATAGCTCTCTCACTCCACTCAGAATCTAAATATCACTATTCCATTTCATAATCCTAATACATATTCTATTATATTATTTATACTGTGTCTTATGTCTTCCGACACTGATAAAAAAAAAAAGAAAATTGTCAATATCGAAATCGGTGATACTCTATAAAGGTATTATACTTTAATTTCATATCAATCTATGTAAATATCACTAAATTATTCCGGTAAAACCATACAAATAATTTTTGTAAAATTTATAACAAAATGGTTGTATTATTCTAATAATTCTATGAAATTATCTACATCTGTATTCATTAAATGTGTTAAAAGAAAATCATGGGATGCATTTGCATATCCTAGCATCCCGCAAATAACGCCACTGGTAGTATACCCGATGGATTTCAGGTTCTCGCAGATAGTACTGGTCAAATAATACGGTAATATTCATAATAATCATAATAGTTTGAAAGTTTATAATAATAAAGCACGATAATCAAGTCAATATCAATCAGTTTATAGACTTTTACAAAATAATAAAATCGATACTTGCAAGCAATTGAGAAGTTTTAAAAATATACACAGGGATTGTGTTTTAAAAAAAAAAAGTGAATGTATGTACAATAGATAAAACAACAGAAATAATCAGTTCAAAAATAGATTCGAAATTTTAAGTCTGCAAAAATGGGAAGGGAAATGTTTTTTATAGTTTTAAAGCCGGGATCCAACTAATATATAGTACCAGAAATCCATCGGGACTTTACTAGCGTTCAATCTATCAACACCAGTACACCATTAGTGTCCGGGACCTCAATTCGGATACGGCTGAGAAGGAATAAATCCATCCAAAAACACTCTATATCATAGTGAAAGTACCAACCGAAATCGCTTCAGCCGTTTCAAAGAAAAGTCCGGACATACAGACGTACAATATGAAAATTAAATTATTGTATTTGTATGACGTATATAGATTGTATTCATATGAATATAAATGTGCAAATTGTTGCAAAAAAATTAAAATTGTTTTATTTTAAAGCCGGCCTTTATAATATTAATTCACGGCTGTTTCTAGGAGACCATATTATAAAACGAATCAACAATAATGACTATTTAATGAATCGTCAATTCGAATATTCATTCATATTGCTTCGCGTTCACTTTTATGAGAGCACTTTATCTATTTGTATTACGTATACCTACTTATAATTGGATATTAAATATACAAGTTTCATCGCGGAAAGTTTTTCTATTATTTTTCAAAAACGTTTTCGTCGTTAATTTGCTACCGTGATTATGCCTAAAAGTAACGTATACATTTATTTATTTCTTTTTCTTTTTTTAATTGTGCAATAACGGATTTGTTTTAATCGAACTCTGAATAAATGCGATTTCAATACGTCCGTTTGCTTCACACCGCATTGGTGTTATTCGCTCGGTCGTACTGTTTTACGGCAGATAGAATTTTTTTTTTTTAACGATTGTAATTGCTTATTAATGGTTCCGTTATTTTAGTTGAAGTTTGGCCACGGAAGCAAAAAAGCTTTTGGATGTACCGATACGCCCAATATCAAAAAATAAACATGTCGCCAACTGGCATGATAAATAACAAACCCTTAGTCGAAGACGACGAAGAGAAGAGAGGCAAAATATTCTTAAACCTGTAAGTTTAGTCTGGGTATATGAATAGATCGTATTATTCCATTTTTTCCATTTTTCATTTTCAGTGGAGGAAATATTTTAGATTTGCCGTGTGGGCTGTTAATTAATATTATTCGTTAGAAAGTTTTTCTAAAAAGAAAAAAAAAACGACGATAAAATATATAGGTTTTTATGTTTTCTTTAATTTCTGGATTACCTCAAGATTTGAATACAAGGGAAAAACTACTGCTATAATTATTATAGTCAAGCTTGTCCAATAGACCAAGCTCTGTTCAGAATTCTTTTTTAAATGTAAATATTTACTATCGCTTTTGTTGTAAAAATTAAAATATTACAGTGTATATATTTCCAATATTCTGCTTACAAATGTGGCGTACTCTTATTTTTTTGTTCTTTTCGGAAACTTATCAAATTGAAAATTCCATATCGTCTTGACTAATACAATACCGGTTGGGTGCTAGTATGTATAACAAACGCAACATTGATTTTTGCAAAACATATTGCAGTAATAGAATACAAACGGCTAACTCAGATACGGAAACCATGCCCGTGTACAAGTGTCTGTGGTCGGAGAGGTTCACATGTTCCAAGTGCCAGAGATGGTTTAATTCTAAAAGAGGTTTGGCCTCTCACTACTGGCAAATGCATGGGAAAAACACTAGACGTTCAAGCAAGAACAAATTATTTAAAGATGGAAATTCTGCCAAACAGTCTATCGAACTGTCCGCTAAATTGTCTGTCAAACAATCTGTCAAAGAGTCCGCCAAACAGTCTGTCCAACAGTGTGTCAAACAGTTCTTGTCGAGCTATGTGCGTCCTGCGGTCTGGGGTCGAAAAAAAGAAGCATTTAGCTGTGACTTGTGTTCTGCAGTGTGCACCTCTGCATTAAAGCTGTTTGTACACAAGCGGTTGCACATAGACAGGACATGCACGAACAGCGCCAAATGTGGGATAACGTTCGACAAATGCGTTAATCTCCAAAAACACGTAAGGATTAGGCACTCGGATCGGGTAGCATATTTTACCAGACGTTCGACCCCCACAGTTCCAACTTTCACCGTCTCAACCGTCACAATTCCGAAAGCCACGTTCCTGATAGTTTTATTTCCAACCGTCTCAGTCTCGAAAGTCCTCAAAAGCCCAACAGCTACATTCCCGACCGCCTTAATCCTAATTACCATAGCCCCGACCGTCATAGTCTCAATATCCATATTCCTGATCACCACAGTTCTCTCCGCTACAGTCCCAAATCCTGAGCCCCTAACACTACATCCGAGATCGTCTCCATAACCGTTATAACCTTCTGCTGTAGGAACCAAACCGACAGCACAACGCCGACCGTATGGGCAGTCCTATCCGTCCACACAAAACCCACGGCCGAAGCGGGTCCAGCTTGAAGTGATTTTGAATCGCCATCTCAGAAAAACGAATTACCTAGTCGATCCGTCTTCACCAACCGCTGACGACGACCAGTTGTTCAAAATTACATCTTCTATTACCTAGTTTTTTTTTCGTTCGGTTTTGTAAATATCAATTACTACTCATTAGCGATTTGACCGTCCATAATAATTATGTACACAGAGTTGGTCATACTTCCGTATATACGTGTAAACACATTTTTTTTTCTATTTCTTGTTTCTTAGCACATTATTATGAATTTAGATCCGACCGATCATTTCATTCATTGCGGCGTAACATGCTCTCAGAAACCCTCTATTCCCCTCATAAAAAAAAAAAAAAAAATCTTAATTAAACAATCAACAATACAATATTATTTCCCGTCGTTTGCGGAATATTATTGTTTTAATCGATAAACGATAACAATACAATATATTATAATACATTATGTTACGAGTAGTTACATTGCCTAAAAAAAGAAAATATATCGTGTATATAAATACCGGTAGCTTATGGCCAGTAGAAAAAATAACAAAAGAAATATAATCAAAATACACACTATTAACCGAAATATTAACCGCTTTTTTCGTAATATTCACGTAGACGTACAGAATTCGGGGTTATCGATTTAAACGCTGGATATTTTGAAACTGTGAAAACATATATGTGTATATATGTATGTAATATTATTGTAGAGTCGTTAGAGTGGCCAACTCTGTCGATAAATACGCATTTCTTATATATTTATAATAAAAACCGTGTAAAAACCAAAATATAATTATTATATATTTACCAAGTTGCCTGATTAATGAACGTGTTATACGCGTAGTCATCAGTCGAACCCGATTTCGATAATCTATATTGTGCTGTAAACACTAACTACAGAACGCATTGGATTTCGGTTATAATATAATTTTAATATCTCATCACTATTGTATTGAATTTTCGACCGGTTTACAGTATCATAAATACGTCCTATATGTTATATCAGTGGTTTTCAAAATTGTGTTTTGACCACGGCACACTTCCTCAACATTTACTCGGTACACTGCGATCATTTTTGGAAACAAATTTCAAAAGACCGCGGCACATCAGTGTACCCAATTTGAAAACCACTGTGTTATTATAACTACAATGTTACACTAATATTTCTGACGTTTTTTTTTTTAAATTTCCAACATAGCTACCTATAATAATATTTTCTAACATAATAATTTAATGGTGGGTGGAAATAATGCAATCGAATGCACATTTGTTAAAGCTAAGCGCAATCGAAACTCGAGAACGGTAAAAGAACCTATCGATGGATACAATCAACATACCTACTCGATTTTTCGTTTACCTAACTTTTTTTGGGATGCAATCCATTGTCTCCGTCCTACATATAAATGTAATATAATTTCTTCCGGAATATAATTACAATTATCGATACTTTTCGGTTGTATCGATTGTCTATATACGGTAGACTTATTGTAGGGGTATCACAATTCGGTTACCTCGATCGGAGTTTACTAATATTGCGGACAGAGTAATAAAAACCAACAGAGTTACGAACAAAACATAAAAAAGTGACGTATACGAATATCACGGATAAATTTCTATGCGTTATTTTTGATGCGAACACGAGTTACGATGCGGACATCGGATAATAATTTGTATTGTCGTGAAATCGAAAGTTGACATTATTCGCACATGGATACAAAAACAAAGATGTGAATTAAAAATCCTTATTTTCGTATTATATATTTTAATGCTCAACGTATTGAAACGACAATATTTGCGATTGACCGACCGTATGCGATAAAATACGCAGTTTGTGAAAACAGCAGGCAGAAGCTATCAGCTTGATGATGTTATCGCGTGAATATATTGTTCATCATGAAAATAGATACTTGTACTGTGTAATACACAGTCTGTGTATATTATATACCTAATCAAACAAACCGAACTACCCCCTCCCCCCCCGATACGATCTCGACTTGCTAAACTTGATCGAAAAGCAAAAAAAACAAAAATCATAAAAAAAAACCCGTACGGAATTTACACAGCACTTGGAAAATAATAAATGCAGACTCAGTGTGTGTGTGTGTATATAGCGTAGAGTTTACGAACGGAAATACGTTTGAACAAACGATGCTTATATTATTGACCGAAAGAGACGTATTAAATATGTCCCTATATACAACGAACTTAAGAGTAAAAAAAATGAAAAGTAAAAAAAAGGGCTGATATTTGGGTTGGTTGCTGCAGTCACTGTTGTTGGTAGGTATAGTGGGAAGGTGAGATGCATAAAGTTATTGCATAAAGTTAAATTAACTTATTAAATCATTGATAACGAAAAACGATTAGGTGCGATATTCGGTTAAATAAGTTTTGAAAGGCCGTAATACTTACGATTCACGTCAAAATTTGATTTTAAATCTTATAAAAAAAAAATTACATGAAACAAAATTTGTATTTTATCACTACTTACGACTTTTAATAAAACTCCTATCAAGTTTTCAAAATTCAATTTCTGATGAATCTATCAATTTATCTATAGAGTACCTATTAAATAAAAAAACTCGTAAAATTAAAAATTGTCTCGGGAAAGTTTTTACCACGTCCAGAAAAAGTAAATATAAGTTTCCGGTCAACATTTTAAGTTTTTCTGAATTAGTTAAACTAAATTACATTAAAAAAACTAAATTGAAAATAATAAAAAATTATTTTCGTAAATTTTCCCGTACTTTATACAATGTTTTTTTAGTTTTATGATATTATTAAAAAAATGTAAAGTAAATCAAAAAAAGACTTTCTTGTTTACCAACTTGATTACTAAATTACAAATTTAACAAAAAAGATCAGTTGATGTTTTTTATTGGAGCAATATTTCTGGTAGAATAAATAGATTGAATTAAAAATAATGAAACCGGGATGCTATATGTTGCCGTGAATATTAATCAATTTTAATCTTTTGGTTTCCCGAATATTACAAAAACATACTTTGACTATCAAAAAACAACTTCCACTATCAGTGGCATAATATTATAAGGAACAAAATCGATACCTCATCATTTTTGGATTAAAGCAATATTTCTGCTAAAAAACAAAGTGCAAACATCATAAAAACAAAGAAAAGGATAACACCGTGGTGCGTCGTAATTATTTGTAGTTTTAACTCATTTTTTCAGGGTTTTCCCGATTTTTTCGAAAAAATCGTTGTAAAATCAAAAAAATGACCTCCCTAGTGCACCAATATTAGAGAAAATTACCTTTCACAAAAAATGCTACGGTATATACTTCGGAGCAAGATATCTGGTAGAAAAGTTGTTCACAAACAGAAAATAACAAACTATTCCAAGTATAACACATTTTACTTTTACCACCATAAATTTTGTTTTTACTCGTAACCCCCCAGATTTTCTCCAACGCCCTCAGGGGTGCGCATACCACCGGTTAAGAAACGCTGGATTTTTATCAAAACAGGAAAAAAATGTAATAAGAAGTTTTCCTCGCCTGACACTACTTTTCGGTAGTTTGTATCCTATCTTTTAATTGGTGGTTTCATTAGTTCTACTCAATTTTAAAACGTTTCAATACTCGTTCTATAAAATCCATGAAATTTGACTGGATCTTGGTCTTATTCCTTTGGAAAATATGAATAAACTGGGGTTAATGTATAATGAATAATAAGGATGAATCAATATAATTTTTTACCATTTCTTATGTCTCAAATACATGAATGTTACAAGCATATCCTCATCCGATGAAGACATTTTGACACCTGAATTATGTGAAACTGAAAAGTGCACTATTACATTTCATTTAAGGTCATATTCATCATAATTGTAACAACGTTTTAGAAAATAACCAAATGCACCAAGTCCTAAGCCGGAAGAAGAAGAATGAAAAGGTAATTGTATTACATTTAAAAATTCGGACCAACCAGTGTATTATTAAATACCAAAATCCGGGACCCGACTAGTGTATAGTACCCGTAATCAATCGGGTACTTAAAATTGTAAAATGTATCGACGCCACTAAGGTCCAGGATCTACTCGAATGTTGCACAGGGGTCGAATTACGGAAAAAATGCCCTGAAAAACATTTTATATCGCAGTGCCCAACGAAATACGTTAGGCTGTTTCAAAAATTATCTCGGACATACAAACGTACAATATAAATATGAATTCAGTCAATGTATTTGTAAGACGTATAAAGATTGTATTCGTATGATTATAAGTGTATGAATTGTAGCAATAACATTATTTTGTTTTAAACCCGGCCGTTATATTAATTTGGGGCCGTTTCCAAGATACCATATTATAATATAAAATATATATGCATATAAAATATTCATTAATATTATTTCGAGTTCACTTTCTCAAAGCAATACAATATATGTATTTGTATTTTGTATACCTACTTATAATCGGTTTAATAAGTATAAAAGTTTCATCGCGGAAAGTTGTCTACTATTTCTCGAGAACTTTTTAGACGACAATCTGCGGCCGTGATATTAACTCAAAGTAACGTATCAATGATTTATTTATTTTTATTCCTTTTTTTAATTATGCCATACATTGATCGATTTGTTTAATCGAACATTGATGTTATTTGCTCGGTAGTACTGCTTTACGGCAAATAAAATTTATTTTTATTAAACGATTGTAAATTTGTATTACTGATTCTGTTATTTAAGTTTGACAACGGAAGCAAAATATCAATTGGACGTACTGATACATCAAATATCAGAAAAAATTCATGTCGCCATCCGAAATGACGAATAATAAACGCAAAGCTGAAGATGACGATGATGAAAGAGACAGCGTATTCTTTTACTAGTAAGGCGATACAACGTATCAATACAAATATTTCGGGTATAGGTTTATTCTAGGTAGATAATTAAAGAATATTTTTACTCTTTTTCTTTTTTTCATTTTGAATATAACAAAGAAACTTAAATTTGTTAAGGTGTGGGTTATCCAATTTTATAATTTATTGAAGTGCTGGTTTTTTTTAAAAAAAAAAAAAAAAATGACTATATAAAATATCAGATTTTATGTTTTTGTTTATTTCTGGATTATTTCAAGTACAAGAGAAAAACTACGGCTATATTTACTTTAATAATGCAAACTCATCTCATTTTCCAAGCTCTGCTCACAATTCGTTGTACATTGCTTTCGGTACATAAATTAAAATACTACTGTGTACTGTTATGTCGCTAAACTGAATTTGTTTCAAAATTGTTACAGTAAAAGAATACTTATGTTAGACTTGGATACGGAAAGTGAGCCGACGAACGACGATTTATGGTCGGAGTGGTTTATATGCCACACGTGCAAGAGGTGGTTTAGTTCTAAAAAAGACTTAGCTACTCACTACTGGCAAATGCATGGGCAGAACGTTTGCCTGTCAAACATCGAAAAATTCTCCGATAACGAACATTCTATCAAACAGCCTGTCAAACGTTTCGTAAAAAAGTTCGTCAAACAGTCTGTGAAACAGCTCGTTGGGTTTTGCGTGGGTGATGTGCATCCTGCGGCCAGAAGTCAAAAAAAGGAGGTGTTTAAATGCGACGTGTGTTCTGAGTTGTGCACGTCTGCCTTAAAGCTGTTGGTACACAAACGGTTACACATAGGCAAGGCACGCATATACTGCAACATATGTGAGATATTGTTCGAAAAACGCGTTCATCTCCTCAAACACGTAAGGATGAGGCACTCGGATCGAGTACCGAGTTTCACCAGACGTTCGACAACCTTAATTCCGACGGCCGAAATCCCAACTGTCACAGTCCCAACTGTTACAGCCCCAACTGTCACAGTCCCAACTGTCACAGTCCCAATGGTCACAGTCCCAACTGTTATAGCCCCAACTGTCACTGTCCCAACTGTCACTGTCCCAACTGTCATTGTCCCAACTGCATCAGTTTCGACTGTCACTATCTCGACCGCTACAATGCCGACAGCCACACTCCCGACCGTTTCATTGTCGACAACCATTACCCTGACTTCTACAGCCCTGGTCACTACTATCCCGATCGCTATAGTTTCGATCCCCATGGTCCTTATCACTACAATTCCGATCGCTACAGTCCTAAACTCCTCTGCCTCAAACACCACATCACCAACCGTCCCATCTCCGACTATCTGCATAACTGTCATAAACTTTTACTGTAGCGACCAAAAAAATAGCACAACGTCGACCACGTCGGAAATCCTAATCGTCCACACACAACCGACCGCTACCACGTCACCAAATTTTGCTGTGGATACTACGGCCGAAGCCGGAACCGACTCAAGGTGATTTGGAATAGTAATCGCAAAAAAAACGAATTACCTAGTCGATACCGTTGGCATTATCACACCATACCAGGTCCAAAATAATTATGTATACAGGGTTGGTAATACTTCCATCTGTATCAAAAAGTGTTTTTTTTCTTCTAGTTTCTTAGCATATTAAAATGTATATCCAATGTATCTTTTATTTGATTGCGGCTTAATATACTCGCTATATCTTAAGCAATTTTTCAAAATCACCGATGCTCTCATAAACCTACTTTCCTCCTTTAATAATTTAATGTTATACAGTACAGTATTATTTCGATTTGTTTACGAAATACTATCGATTTTTTTTGAAATCAGCAATACAATACATAATTACGTTTCAAATAGTAACACTGCTTAAATAAAAGAAAATAAATCATGTACATAAATAAGTACCAAGAGATTTATGGCCAGTAGAAAAAGAAAATTAATACAAAATTGTATCAGTTTTTCACCCTCGAAAAAGCAGCACGTTTCTTCGTAATGAATATTATCGAGTGCTATGTTTTTTGAGTAAACGAAAACATTTAAATATATATATACATAATATATCTAATGTCGTAGACACATAATAATGGCCTACTCTGTCAATAAACACGCACTTAATATCATTATAATATATTCATTCATGGTATAAAAAACCAATAAAAAAAAATAAAAATTACCGAGTTTTGTGTTTAATTAACCTACTATACCTACTATACCCGTCGTTATTGTATATTTCGATAATCTATATTATTCTTTTCTGCTGTTAAAAATCTACTGCACTTCGGATTTCGGTTATATTATGCAACCGAAAACGACAAAAATTAAATCTGTTAGAAAATCGTATATATTCTTTAGACTTTTAACAATATGTATAGCGTTCAGAAATACAGTTATTAAAATCCAAGTCTTACTTTGCCCTGTACTCACGTAATTATCCGCTGTCCGACAAATCGATTCTCTCTCTCTCTCTTTACAAACTAGGCATGCGAGGTCTTCCTATAAATCTTTTTTTTTACGGACTGATCGGACATTAAAATATTATTAATATTGCGAATAACACAGTTACCGTGATCATATATTTTTTATATTCTTACGATATGAAGTGCACGCCACCGCTCACGTGTTTTACAGTTAGTGATGTAAATCGGTTATATTACTTTGGATAAGTATCATAAAGCAAGTAATTTATCGATTAAGTAGTATACATATAAATTACTTTACCACTTTACGAATATTTTATTTTTTAAATTTTATTAATCATATTTCATATATATTGAATTCTAATATGAATATCATATTCATATAATCATATACCATGCATGTTACATAGTTAAATTTATTATTTATAGGTATTTGGACTCTTGGGGCCGGTCGTATTATAATTTATTAAGTCGTTATACTCGTTTTAGGTCATAAATTTTGAAACTCGTCACATCGTCTGACTGTCTGAGTAGAAATTTACTGTTAAATGGGTCATGTTCATTCGAAAATATGGAAAACATTTTTAAAATGCACTGTCAATGGACATTATTAATATAAATTTTTTATTCAATTTAGGTATTAAAAAAAAATGTCCCAATACTACCGGTAATCTACTCAAGTAAGTTACCTAAAAATAAATTGCTTATAATATTACAACATTAATTACAGTGCAACGACGACGACAATGACGTTTCCCGGCGATAATTTTTGAAACTTGTAACTCTCTCTGTTTTACAAAACAGTTACCGGTATAGCGGTACGGACGTCATCTTATAGTCCCGTCATAACTCTCTTCAAGTTTCGATTGCGTCCGTTTTAGCATCCGATTGCGTCTGTACAATAATGTCGGCTATTATAACATATATATAGACGTAAACTAGAGTACCTACTTTCAGTGTGTTAATCTTATGAACATCTTTCGTTGCACAAATTTAAAATTTTAACATTAATATTTGTATATTATGTTCCTCCAATTGACGAATGTGATTCTAATATGTTTCTTCGCAGATCTATTTCCAATAAATTCCTGAAAAGCGAACGAAATCAAAGGAATATGAGTGCAGTCTTTGAATCCATTCCTTTCGTGCTCTTATAAAACGGTTCTAAAACGATCTGTCGCCCTTTCATTGTTTGTATGAAGTTGTTTCTATAGTCTCTCGCTCAGAGTACCAATTTCACGTATACCGCTTGTGACTCAGACCACGCTATGTAAACAGTCCTTAAATCCCGAATACCTGTTGGTTCGGTGTCATTCACGACGCCTTTTATACGCCGTATTATAATAATATACGAGACGTTCTGTCTTAATTTTATCGCGGTCCTGAAAACCGATAATTCGATTTGTGTGTTAGTATCCGTATATCTCACCGTGTTCGACGGAGTTGTCTAGGGCTGTTAATGTTCAATCTTTTTTAAAAAAAAATTTTTTTTCTAGGGGGACACATGCTTAGAGTGAAATATAATTTTTATTTTAATTCCTCAATTTCAAAAAAAAAAATGATGGACATACTTCGCACGTGGGCGCAGCCACTGTTGTTGGTTAGATGTTGGAAAGGTAGAATATAGACGAGAATTTAACGTATATCTGTAAGCAACGATAAACTATTTCTAACGAAAAAACGATTTTGAACGGAGTTCAGTTGATAGTGTCGCTTTGTTAACAATATATATATATATATATATGTCATTTATAATAAAATGATTACAACAATGTGGATTTTCATGACAACAATGATTTTTTAAAAAATATTAAAATAATAAAAACTTATTTATAACAACAAATAAATAAAAACGGTTGCCAATGACAACATTATTTTAAATCTTTCAATATTTTTTAACCTAAATAACCAGGTTTTCCTCATTATCTCGAATATTAATGATAATTTCAAAAAATAACTTCTCTCAAGTACCATCCGGAGAACATTCCTTTCAGTAAGGATGGTTGTACTTAATAATCGGAGTAAGATTTCTGGTAGAAAAAGTGTTTACATAAAAAATAAAAAAAATAATTATAAACATCTTTGTAAAACCAATACATTCTGATCAACAGTTTCTATGTTACGGTCGTTTTATAATTTCTATTGAAAAGTTGTGAGAAACGTGATTATAACTTAACGTGACAGGGAATATCTTGATTTATTGTGTTATACAATGTTAAAATATAAAATGACAAAATAATTAAAAAGGCTTTATATATTTTCTTTAATCAAATTAGTTTAATGTTGTTTAAAATTGTTTAATTTTCTCAGATTTCCTACGATTTTCCCGGTTTTTCACATTTTCTGGAATAACTTTAAGGAAAATCAAAAAATGGCCACTTTAAAGTACCTCCCTAGTGAAATTTCCTTTTAGAAACATTGTTATCATAAAAAGTTGGCGGAACATTGGTGGCAGAAAAGTTGTGCATAGAATAAAAGAAGGCTGTAATATATTTTCACTAATACCTAAATTTCTTATATTTTCCCATTTTTTTTTTTTCAAAGTTGATGAGAAAATTCTTGTTAAAATGGCCTCCTTAAAGTACCTCCCTAAACCGATTTTCTTTCAGAAAAGGTGCTACTCGTAGAAATCTAAACAGATAATCACAGATAAATAAAAGGTGAATCTGATTGTCAATCAATTAGGAGTCAGCAATTGGGAGTCGTTAAAATAGGATTCGGCAAAATATGAGTTGACAAATCGGTATTCGGCAAACTGGGAGTCAGCGAATTGTAAAATCACCGTTTGAAGGCCCGTTGCCTCCACCGCCGCAAAGGTTAACACAAAGAAGCGTGTTTTTTTTTCGTGACACATTTTTTTTATAACCGGTTTCCCGCCACAGAAAGAAACGCCAGTGTGTGGGACTCAAGTAACCGGGCCGTCATTTCTCCGCGGACGGGTCGAATACAATAATATGTTTTATCTCTTTGTTTTTAAACTTATTTTTTGTGTACCACTTATATGTATTATTTATGACATGTATTTAAAAATGATAAGAGCAGCGTAAATAAAACTAAAAAATATAAAATAGTATTAGATGCATTAAAAACATTTGTAAAAATATGTATCAATTGGTTTTCCAAACTACCACTCGGCCTTTTACACAATATGAAAACTGCTGATCTAGATAAACGCAAAAATAATCATTAGAGACAAATAATTACATCGGCCAGACAAATCCGTTAAAATCGTAATTTATGCGTAGTATATTCGATACAAATAATATATAGGTAAAGTGTAACGATGACGGACGGTAAAATATGCCGTTAAAAATAAATTGTTCGGACGGAAAATACTACAGTTAACGCAAGCATGATGTGGAATGCGTGTAAACAGTGAAAAATTAAAGCTAATTATTGTGTATACGAAGTCCACGAATACCGGTTTCATAAAACACTTAATGATGACGTACAACGGTGGTTTTGCTGTTCGAAACGTTTTTGTAAGTGTTTTATAAAATAATTATCTCTCGCAGATATTACGGTTTAGACATACTGAAAGAGTGAAGCCGACTACAACCACGGTATTTAGTTTAACTCTGCTTGTTATTTATAGTTTTTTTAGATGTTTATATAAAATTATTACAAATTCAATGCATAAAAATAGTATTTTACGAATTAAATATTACTTAAACGAAACTATACACGAGTATGCGACAAACGTTTAACAGACAAAATACTATATTTTTTGAAAAATACTTGAATAATATACTATATTACTAATAATAATATACTTGAAAAATCGATATAAAACTATAGAATTAAATTAAAATTTTAAGATGGACCAACGAGTAAGTTAGAGATTTTAAGGGCGGGTCTTCGCACTCCTGGATACATTCTTAGTGCTGCTACTGTTAGTAAGCTCAATCAAAAGAAATGAATTTGAATAGTTATATAAACATACGTACTAAGAAAATAATTGCACCCAGTTTCTCAGACACGATTACCTCGTTATTATTATATTGTTATTATTTATATTTATACCAATCCTCCAACATTTGGTCCAAATTATTTTTACTATGTTTGTTCACTTCGTCTTTGACTTTTCCAAAGGTCTTTTCCTTATTTTATTCTGTTTTGTTACTAATCCTTAGTAATGGATTATGGTTTTATCAGTACACGTCCATTCTGTGAAAGTCTTCTTTTAAAATAAAATTTAAAAAACTAAAATTTTTTCATAAAACTCAGAATCTAAAAATGCCTACATTGCACCACAGTTCGTGGATCACTTAGGTTTGCCTTCAGTTATCAGAGTTTTTGGCACTATTAAGTTGAAGCAAACCAATAACTTACTATGATGAAAATTTTACAAATTTCAATATAGGTATTAGAAGATTCAATTTCAAACATTTACCAACACCAGTTAATTTAACACGTCTAGACACACATATGCCCCTATATAAAAATAATTAATAATTCCTTATAGTACCTACTTACGTCATAATTACTGTGCCATTGCTTGTCAGTTGTCATAATTATTATGACAAGCGGCAAGCGACGGCATAGTCGACTTTTCAAGGAAATGATATCGTGTATTTGTGATTCAGTGTCACTTGTATATATTTGATCGAAAACCCACGATCATAGAATAATTCGAAATAATTCCTTATCTATGCTTTGTTTACATGTATCAATTTATTGAATTAAATGGATTCGTATTGAATCAATTCAAATTAGGGTACAAATATACATGCACGTCTAAAACAGTATTAGTATAATACACTTTTACCATATCAGTTTTATGTTGCAACGTTTATATGCACAGTTTAAACCGATTTACTGATAACGTCTTTAATTATTATTCCCTATTACGAGTACATACCGTAATTCTGATTGCTTGTTGTAATGTGATTCGTTTACATGTATTTAGTACTCCCAGAGTGATTTTCAATGCGCATTTCAAATGTGAATTAGCTAAACCATTTTAGCCATGCATTTAACTCCGGAAGTTAACTAATATGAATTAAATCAAAATAGTTTTAGTTATGCAACTAACCGTAGTACTTGTCTACGGTATTATTATATTTATATTTATTAAGTTGTAAACAAATTGAAAATTCATGATATGTACCTCGGCAAATACATATATTTTGCGTTTTAAAATTAGAATTATTTTGGAAATTCTAGGTTCAATTTCTTAGATACAAAAAAAAAACCTCACACATCATAGTTAAGCTAATACATTATCACTTAGCTCAGAATCTAAAAACGCGAGGCTTCGTAAAGCGTAAGGCCCTAAAGGGGTGCCCAATTTGACTCCCCCCTCTACCGACCATGATTATGTTTCGCTATTTATATATCATTTTGCTTATTATTTTGCCAAGATATTTAAAACGATCATTTTAAAAACGAGCAACTTTTATACACGTTTAGATATAAATAAATATCATCAAGATATAATACTAGTGTATCCAGAACTTCCAAAAAGAACAAAAATTAAACTATGTATGATAAAAAAAACAAAAAAAAAAAAATGTATATATATATTTATATAATAATAAAACGACGTATACTACAGGTAATATTATTAATAGGATGTTGGTCAGATGTTGGTATATTCATACGCATACACCACCTACCGCAATAAAAATCCTCGTTTGCTGGTTGCTGACGCCGCAGCAATGTTAAAAATCCCCAGCGTAATATTCTTTAAAATATGATATTATTATACGATATTATTCCTATACGTATATCCCACAAATGTCGCCACTGATAATGTACTAGTTGGTTTACGGGTTTCCGTAGGTAGTCGAGTAATCGACTAGTAAAATACTGTTTATAATTATTGTAATTATAACGTGATGTTTATCTCAAACCAGTTTATAGACGATTTAAAAAATGATCAAATGTAGGCAAATGAAAAGTTCGTGAAATAAACAAAAGTGGTTTTTTTTTACAAAAAAGAGATTGTGTACATATTATAAAAGATAAAACTTCAGAAACAATCGTTCGAAAAATATATGCGAAGTCCTAAATCTAAAGAAAGAGAATGAGAAGGAAAAAGATTTGTATTGCTTCTAAATATTCGGACCCAACTAGAGTATTATTACCTATCGGAAACTAGGACCCAACTATAGTGTATAGTACCTGACATTCATCGGGACCTTACTAGTGTTAAATATGTCGAAACCACTAGGGTACTGGATTCACTCGAATGCTGCACAGGGATTTAATTACGGAAAAAATGTTCCGAAAAATACTCTATATCGCAGTGCCCAACGAGATAAGTTTGGCCGCTTTAGAGATTAGCCCGAAAAGACAAATGTATGAAATTAATATTCAATTATTGTATTTGCATGACATATAAAGATTGTATTCGTGTGATTATAAGTATGCAAATTGTAACAATAACATTATTTTATTTTAAACCTGGCCGTTATATTAATTTGGAGCCGTTTCCTAGAGATCATATTATAAAACGAATCAACAATAATGATTTATTAACTATTCGTCAATTCAAATATTCATTAATATTGTTTCGCCTTCACTTAATGAGAGCAATTCAATATATATATATTTGTACTTCATATACCTACTCATAATCGGTTTATCAAGTATACAAGTTTCATCACGGGAAGTTTATCTACTACTTCTCGATAACGTTCGACGATAATCAGCGGCCGTGATATTAACTCGAAGTAACGTATATATGATTTATTTCTTTTTTTAATTATGCCATACAACGATTGATTTGTTTAATCGAACATTGATGTTATTTGCTCGGTCGTACTACTTTACGGCAGATAGAATTTATAATAGAATTTATTTTATTAAACGATTGTAAATTTGTATTACTGATTCTGTTATTTAAGTTTGACAACGAAAGCAAAATATCAATTGGACGTACTGATACATTAAATATCAGAAAAATAAACATGTCTCTACCCGATATGTCGAAAAATAAACGCAAAGCTGAAGATGACGACGATGAAAGAGACAGCATGTTCTATTACTAGTAAGTCGATACAATTCATCAATACAAATATTTTGAGTATAAGATTATTCAAGGTAGATAATTAAAGGATATTTTTACATTTTTTCTTTTTTTTCATTCTGAATATAACAAAGAAACTTAAATTTTTAAGGCGTGAGTTATCCATTTTTATAATTTATTTATTTGCTAATTTTTCTAAAAAAAAAAAAAACGACGAAATAAAATATCAGATTTTATGTTTTTGTTTATTTTTGGATTACAAGAGGTGAACTACGGCTATATTTATAGTCACTCAGGCTTGACCAATTGAATAAGCTCTTATTTAACAATTTATTTTTTTCTGAATCCAAATATTTATCATCGAATTTGTTACACAAATTAATATGTACCTTTATGTCGCTAAACTGATTTTTTTGATACTCATTACAGTAAAAGAATACTTATGGCAGATTTGGATTCGGAAAGTGAGCCGACGAACGACAATATATGGTCGAAGTGGTTTTTATGTCAGACTTGTCAGAGGTGGTTTGATTCTCAAAAAGGTTTAGCCACTCACTACTGGACATTTCACGGGCAGAACGTTAGCCTGTCAAACATCAAAGAATTCTCCAGCGAAAATGTCATTAAAAAGTCCGTCAAGCAGTCTGCGAAACAGCCTCGTAGGTCACGTGTACGTCATGAAGTCTCGGGTCCAAAAGAGGATGTGTTTAACTGCGATGTATGTCCGGAGGTCTGCACATCTGCCTTAAAGTTGTTGGTACACAAGCGGGTGCACATAGGCAGGGCACGCATAAACTGTGCCATATGTGAGATAACGTTCGAAAAACGCGTTCATCTCCTCAAACACGTAAAGATGAGGCACTCGGATCAGGTAGCGCGTTTCACTAAACTTTCGCCACCTCCAGTTCCCTCTGCCACAGTCTTAACTGTCATACTGTCACTAATACAATCTTGACCACCACAATGCCTACAACCACATTCCCGACTTCTATACTCTCAACCATCTCGTTTTCGACCGCCTTAGTTTCAATCCCCATACTTTCATCATTCCTCGTAATTCCGATCACTACAGTTCTGAATTCCTCAGCCTCAAACACCGCATCCCCAACTTTCCTATATCCGACTGTATGCATAACTGTCATAAACTTCTGCTTTAGTGACCAAACTTACAGCATAACGCTGACCGCATGGGCAATCGTCCACACACAATCGACAGCTTGCACGTTATCAAATTTTGCTATGAAAACTACGGCCGAAGCGTGTCTAGCTCGAGATGATTTGGAATTTTAATAACAGAAAAACGAATTACCTAGTCGATTCACCTGCTCCTACCGCTCCTTTAGTGGATGACAACCAGCTGTTCAAAATTACGTCGTCTATTAGTTAAGTTTATTTTTCCGTTCAGCATTATCACACCGTACCAGGTCTGTAATAATTATGTACACAGGGTTGGTCATACTTGCGTCTGTATATATTACAAACACTCGGAAACTATAAAGGTGGATCGTAAAATTCACCTGGCTTCACCTGGGGTCGTTTTTTTCTTTTAGTTTCTTAATATATTATAAATTTAGATCCGAAGGATCTTACCGTTCATTATTCTTTATTCTCGTAAATCCTCGTCCCACTATAATATTATATTGTATTATACAGTACATTATTATTTCGCTTTGATTACAAAATTAGATTGTTTTATTCGAAATCATAACAAAACAATATATAATTACTTTTTGAACAGCAATACTGAATTGCCTCCTCTCACCGCCGATGATGACCGGTTATTCAAAATTATGCCGTCCATTAGTTAAGTTTATTTTTATGTTCTATATGATCACATCGTACCCGGTCCATAATAATCATGTAAAAGCTCGCCAGCTCTCTCGGGGGTCGTTGAAAAATGTTTTTTTCTCTTTCTTCTACTTAGCATAATAAAACGCAGATCCTATGGATCTTTTGGTTCATTGTGGTGTAATATTAATAGCATTACATAATATACCCGAAAGCGATTTTCAAAACCGCCGATGATCTCGTAACCCCCCCCCCCCCCCCCTCCCTCTTTAATAATATAATATTATACAGTACAGTAATATTTCAATTTGTTTACGAAATATTATCGTTTTATTCGAAATGATAACAATGCAATACATAATTGCTTTTCGAATAGTAACGCTACTTAAATTAAAGAAAATAAATCATGAATATAAATAAATATCATTAACATAAAACCGTTTGGGTTTTTTCACCCTCGAAATATCAGCACCTTTCTCCGTAATGCATAATACGAATCGAGCGCTATGTATTTCGAGAAGGCGAAAACATTTAAACATATATATATATATATATATATATATATTGTGTAGACGCGTAATAATGGCCAACTCTGTCGATAAACACGCACTTACTAAAATTATACAAACGGTAAAAAAAAAAAAATGTACCGAGTTTTGTGATTAATTTATTAACCTATTATACGCGTCGTTATCGTTATCGTGATTTCGATAATTTATTATTGTTTTGTGCTTTTAAAACTATCTACAGGGCGTTTCGAATTTCGGCTATATGCAGCCAAAAATGATAAAAACGAAATCTGTTAGAAAATCGCACTTATTCTTCAGAATCGTAACAATTATCATAGCGTTCAGAAATACAGTTTTCAAAATCCAAGTCGTACGTCACCTACGTAATTTATACGCTATCTGACAAACGAGAGACTATCGAAATCGATTATATTTTAACCATGTACATTTAATCTCACGTGTATTACAGTGCGACACGACGATGTTTTCCGGCGATTATTGTCGAAACTTGTAACACATTCCGTTTTACAAAATCCTATAATATGAGTATATTATTGTAAAATTCCAAACTTATAAATTTGTTGACAGTACAAAACCACGATAACAGAGGCATGCGAAAAAATACCTGCAAAACGCGTCAACAAGTAGATACCGAAAAAGGTATGTCAACAACGACATAAACGCACAAAAAAAAAAATTAAAATAATAACGAAAAAACGGTAATCGGTAAGGACGTCATCTTATCGCGTCCTGTTTTAACCCTTTTCTAGTTTCGAATGCATCCGGCATTAATGTTACTGCGACTATTATTGGGGATGTCCATTTTTCGTTGCACAAATTTTAAATTTTTACATTCATATTTGTATATTACGTTCCTCCGATAGTCGAATGAAAATTTAAAGTTTCACCGCAGATCTGTTTTCAATCAATTCTTGAAAAGCGAACGAATTCAAAGGAATATGAGCGCAGTCTTTGAATCCGTTACTTACATATACTGGTAAAACAGATTCTAAAACCAATTGCCCCCGCGTCGTTGGTATGAGGTTCCCTCTATAGTCTTTCACTCAAGGTACTAATTTCGCATATACCTCCAGTGCCTCAGACCACGCTATGTAAACAGTCCTTAATACCGGTCAGGCCGCTGCCGTTTGTGACGCCCCATACGTGTTATAATAATACATAAGACATTTTATTTCTTATTTTTATCGCAGTCCTAAAAACTGCTAATTCGATTTGTGTATTTGTATGCGGTAGTACCCACTTATCCGACTGTTAGACGGATTTGCTTAGAGCTGTTAATGTTCAAACTTTTTTAAATATAATTTTTTTGAAGGGAGCATTTAGAATAAATGCTTAGAATGAAATGTAATTTTTATTTTAATCCTCTAATTATTAATTTAAAAAAAAAAAAATAACTTTATTTATGCATTTTGTTTTACTACCATTATTATGATTATTTTTTTTCTCGCGTTCAGCCGCCTAAGAAACGCTAGAATGAATATACAAATTTAGATTCTATCTAAATAGATTCAGGACAAGTGGATTAAAAACAAAACTTTAAATATTAACAGCATTCGAGAAATCCATCGGAATGGCGACGAGACGCCCTGTTACGTATACCGGCGCACATAATGTTGCGCCTATAATCCCTTTTTTTTCTTAATGGCCCTTTTATTTTACGAATCGCGCAAAAATACATAATACCCGTAATGTTATAATTTAGGTGCTGGTATACTAACCGAAATAACAGTCCTCGTTTGACTGTCTGTCGACGCTGCCACCACAAAGGTTGACACATTGAAGCGTATTATTTTTCGTTATAAGACATTATTTTTTTACGACTGGTTTCCAGCCCCTGAAAGAAACACGGGTGTTTGGGACTCTAATAATATCCCCCGGGCCATGTTGCAGCATTTATCGTCACGCGGCTTAAATACAATAATATTTTTTTATTTTTTTTATCATCTCATTCGTCTATATCAGAGGTTCTTAAACTTTTTTTTCGTGAACCACTTATTATGGATGTATCACGAAACCACTTATGACTCAAAATTGAACCATTCAAAATGTATATACATTTATTTAAAAATGATAAGGGCAGCGTAAGGCAATAAAATACTACATTATAATTAACATTATAAAAATTAAAAATATAAAACAGTATACCGCATTAATAACATTTGTACAAATATATATTAATTAATTATCCAAACTACTTTTCGGCATTTTGCGAGCAACCATGTTACCTACTACGTACCATAGTTTAAAAATTACTGATAAACGCGAAATAATTCTTCCGTGATAAATAGTAACATTGCCTAGACAAATCTGTTAAAAGCGTTATTTGCGCGTAGTAAATTCGGTAAAAATAATATATAGGTAAAATGTAACGACGGACGGTAAACTATGTCAATAAAAGTAAATTGTTCGGACGGAAAATACTACAATTTAATCGTGACTATGATCGTGCGTGGAATATGTGTCAATAATGACAAATCAAAGCCGATTATCTATACGAAGACCACGAATACCAGTTTCATAAAATACTTAATAACGATGTACAACGGTGACTATGTTGTTCGAAACGTTTTTGTAAGTGTTTTTTTTAAAATAATTATCTCCCGCACATATTATGGTTTAGACAGATTGAAAGAGTGAAGCCGACCACAGCCACGATGAAACTCGCTAAAAAGTTTTAGATAAGAAAATTATCGCGGTGTCTCTTTCAATTTAACGCTAACTACTGATTCATATGACGATTGGTAATTGTTATGTAACTGTAACTTATTTTTCTCTTGCCCAAGCCCCGGCCGAATTTCGTACTTAATTTAGGGTTCGGGCTGCAATCAAAAACTTTACCACGTCAATAAAATATAAATATAATATTTTGAAATGCTGTTATTTTTACGGATTTCACCAATATTTTAAATTATACAATAATTAGAAAAAAATATAATACGCATTTGATTCACATTTTTTTATATTATCAAATACAACTCACGATAAACCTAGTATAAAGTATTCAATCATCTATATCTACAAAAAAAAAAATCGAAAATACTGCCCCAATCATTAAGAAAAGAACGTCCTTATTCACTATAACTAAAAAATATTTCTTTTTAAGAAAACATGCTACTTTTCGATGGAAGCAAGATTTGATGTAGACATTTATCTATAGACAGAAAAAGATAAAATATCGTATAAATCGTTCAATTTCTCGGGTTTCTTAAATTCTTTTCGTGGTTTCGCCAATCATAAATAAAACTACAAGGAAAATAAATAAATGCCTCTCATCAACTAGATCCAAAAGTTCACAAGTAGATAACTTTACGTTTGATTGGAGCAAGATTTTTGACAAAAATTTGTTTAAAATTAAAATAAATAAATGAATGAGTGAATAAAAATAAAAAAACACATTGTAAAATCAATAATATCTCAATTTTACTTCTTGAAAAAAAAATGACTACAAATAAAATGACTGTATAGACAGAATACATTCTCTAAAAATGGTTCATAAGTCAGGTAGATCTTTATCATTTTATATAATATAGTACAATATTATTATTTACATGCAAAAATAAAACTATTTTGTACTTTAAATTGCTTTTCTTTTTTCGAAACTCCGCGATACTTTCATCCGCAATTATTCCTTACAGCAGAGATCTCTCTGTGGTCACGGATAAAACTAACGCAATACAAGAATACTGTTCTACATACATACGCGCCAATTCCTATAATATTTTATTAATAATTATTACACACAGGGCTGTTTCGGTAGTACGTGCCCACGTTTTTCAATCTACAATAAATAATTAACATGGTAATAGGCTTCGGATGTGAAGCTAAATACGCAAATAATATACATATATTATCGTTGAGACAAATAAAAATAAAATTTGGATTTACAAATTTTTAATGTAAAAAAAACTAAACTCAAAATATTTTTTTCTGTAAAAAAAAGCCCCTCACATGACGTTCAGTATTTCAGGGCCTGACACTCAGGCCTATTGAAATGTTAAGCTTAATCCGGTCTTGACATTAATGTATCCTTTTCGTGAACCGTGAAAATAACAATATGAAGAATAATTACTTTTATTTTATGGTTTCAATAATAATAAAGACATAAATCTATAAGCGGTTGTTGCGTCCGTCAATTATGGTTTCCGCCAAAATAAATAAGATTTGATTTTCCTTTTTTCAATATCTATTTTTATTTGCTTATATGAATTCCATTTATAACTCAAAAAATATTCTGTTTAGACCGATTTTTACGAAAAATTAAATTTGAGCCTTTCAATTATAGAATCATTTTTTTTTTTACCCCAATTACTTGTTTTGAATTTCATTTAAAAAAAAAAAAAACGGACATTTGTATATAGACTAGAGGTTTTTAAACCCCATCTCAATAATATTTGTAGAAATAGATGAGCGGAAACGAAAATCGGACCTTTTTCGTTTTGGCGGAAAAAATTTAGTAATTTAGTTTTCTTAAAACAAAACGTATAATTTATCGAATCGATATCTTGATTTAGTTTCTGTTCGGTTTCGTGAAATATTAGTAAATTGAACAATTATGTAGAACGTTATTATATATACCCGCAATATTTAAATAGGAACATTTAATTTGTTAACTATACGATTATATCCCTATATTAATTATAGTTTACAGGAATTTTAATATAGAAAACCTAAAAGAAAAAAACCGTAGCAAAAATTGTACAATTTTAATTGTTTTCTATTTTTTTTTTTTTTTATGTTTTTATTCGGTTTAAAATAGTTTTTTTTAAACACTTTCTAGTCGTGGTAAAAACTTTATGGTATTTTTTTAAGGTTTTTATTAGCATTTTACATTTTCGATTTTATTTTTTTTTGATTTATCATTTAATTTTATACGAATTTTGACCAAGCCAAAAAGCTAAATAATTTAACACGATTTCCATTATAAATTAATATTGACAGTAAAACAATTCGTGGAGTATAATGTACTATGTATAATAGGACATATTTATGTCTAGAAACATAAATTAAACGATTTTATTTTTTACCCTACCATCTCTGCACCTGGGACACACCCGTTAGCAGTATCAGATCATTTTTTATGCATTTTAACTCTTAAGTTGTAAATGTACGACTAAATCTGTAAAAAAGACAAACAATAATTGTAGTTACTTAATTGTTATTTACATTTAATTTTTAAATTTTTATAAAATGGAGTTTTTCTTTAAATATCATAGTATTTATTATATTATCGTTACATGTTTATAGAATTTAAATTTAAGCAAAAACGTTTTAACTTTACTAGAATTGGTTGCAATAGTTTACCAAAATACAATTTTAAAAAACACTTCAAAACTGTTTAAAATATAAGAGGCATGTTAAAAAAAAATTTTATCAAACCTTTTTGCTTTTACATCGCATGCAAAAATACATATAATACTTGTAATATTAAGGTGCCGGGATATTCGTACGCGTACACCGCCAACCGCAATAAAAAAATCCTCGTTTGCTGGTCGCTAACACCACCGCCAAGTTAACTAACCTCAGCGTATTATTATTTATAATACGATATTATTTTCATATCCGTATATCCCACAAATGTCGCCACTGATAATGTACTAGTTGGTTTACGGGTTTCCGTAGGTAGTCGAGTAATCTACTAGTAAAATACTGTTTATAATAATGCTAATTATAACGCGATTTTCATCTCAAACCTGTTTATAGGCGATTTAAAAAACGATCAAATTAAAATAGGCAAATTAAAAGTTCGGGAAATAAACAAAGGTGGTTTTTTTTTTACAAAAAGGAGAGTGTGCACATATTATAATAGATAAAACTTCAGAAACAATTGTTTGAAAAATATATGCGAAGTCCTAAGTCTGAAGAGAGAGAATGAGAAGGAAATGATTTGTATTACTTTTAAATATTCGGACCCAACTAGTTTATTATTACCTACCGGAAACTGGGACCCGACTATAGTGTATAGTACCTGACATTCATCGGGACTTTACTAGTGTTAAATATATCGACACCACTAGGGTACTAGATCCACTCGAATGTCGCACAGGGGTTTTATTACAGAAAAAATATTCCGAAAAATGATCTATATCGTAATGCCCAACGAGATAAGTTCGGCCGCTTTAGAGATTATCCCGAAAATACAAACGTCCGATATGAATATTTAATTATTGTATTTGCATGACATATAAAGATTGTATTCGTGTGATTATAAGTATGCAAATTGTAACAATAATATTATTTTATTTTTAACCAGGCCTTTATATTAATTCAGTGTTGTTTCCAAGAGAACACATTATAAAACGGATCAACACAAATGACTAGTTAACTATTCGTCAATTCAAATATTCATTAATATTCTTTCGAGTTAACTTTATGAGAGCAATACAATTTAAGTATTTGTATTTCATATACCTACGTATTGTTGGTTTATTGCAGAAAGTTTTTGTAATATTTCTCGAGAACGTTTTCGACATTAATCTGTTGCCGTGATCGTAATTCGAAGTAACGTATAAATAATGTATTTATTTTATATTCTTTTTTTAATTATACAATCGATCGATTTTTTTTTTTTTATCTAAATGCGATTCGAATCTTTTGGTTCGCTTCAAATCGTATTAGTGTTATTCACTCAGTCGTACTGCTTTACAGCATAAAGAAATTATTTTTTTCAGAATACAAACATGTCGCCACCAGACATAACGAATAATAAACGAAAAGCCGAAGACTCCAATGAGAGAGACAGCTTGTTTAACTAGTAAGACGATGTCACGTTTCAGTACAGATATTTTGGCTACAAGTTTTAGTCTAGGTACATAATTGGATAGTATTTTTACATTTTTATCATTATCAGCGTAGCAAAGACACTTTAAGAATTTTCCAAGGTGTGAGCATTATTATAATTTATTTGAATGCTAGTTATTCTAAAAAAAAAAAAAACCGATGATAAAATATAATATCGGTTTTTATGTTTTTATTGATTTCTGGATTACCTTGAGTACGAGAGAAAAATTAATACTGTATTTATTATAGCCAAGTAAGTTTGCCTAATTCACCAAGCTAATAAGTTATAAGATACTTTTCATCGCTTTCTTTATGCAAATTAAAATACTAATTTTTACCTTTATGTCACTTTTGATACTCATTGCAGTAAAAGAATGCTTATGATGGACTTGGAAACTGAAAGCCAGCCGACGAACGACAATCTGTGGTCTGAGTGGTTCATATGTCAGACTTGTCAGAGATGGTTTAATTCTAAAAAAGGTTTGGTTACTCACTACTGGAAAGTGCACGGGCAGAATGTTAAACTGTTAAACATAAAAGGAATCTCCGATGACAAACTTTCCGTCAAACAGTATGTCCAACAGCCTGTTAAACGTTCTGTTGAGAATTCCGTCCAACAGTCCGTGAAACAGCTCGTTGGATCTTGCGTGGGGGATGTACGTTCTACAGATTGGGGTCAAAAAAAATAATTTATTTATCTGCGATTTGTGTTCCGAGGTGTGCACGTCTGCCTTAAAGTTGTTGGTGCACAAGCGGTTTCATATAGGCAAGGCACGCAGAAACTGCGCCAATTGTGAGATACCGTTCGAAAAACGAGTAAGAATAATACACTCGGATCAGATAGAGCACTTGACCAGACGTTCGACACCTGCAGTTCCAATCACCACAGTCTCAACTTTCACAATCCCAACTGCCACAGTTTCGACTGCCACAATGTCGACCGCCACAATGCCGACAGCTACATTTCTGACAGCTACCCTCAAGACCGTCTCATTCTCGACTCCTCTAGGCCTGATCGTCACATTCCCCGCAGCCATAGTTTCGACCCCCTTAGTCCCTATCGCTACAATCCCGATCGCTACAGCTGTAGCCATCAATCCGACAGAACAACGCTGACCGCATTGGCAACCCTTAACGTTCACACACAACCGACCACAGTTGCACGTCACCGAATTTTGCCGCAGAATTTTCGGCTAAAGCGGACCGGGCCTGAGAACATACGGAATCGTAATCGCAGGAAAATGAATTAGCTAGCCGATTTGCCGCCTCCCACCGCCGATGACCGGTTATTCAAAATTATATCATCCATAAGTTAAGTTTATTATTTCGTTCTGTATTATCACATCGTACCCAGTCCGTAATAATTATGTACATAACCAACGGCTCCTTCGTGGGTTGTCGGGGATTTATTTTTTCTTCTGTTAAAGCATATTATAAATTTATATCCGATGAATCGTATCGTTCATTGCAGTGTAATATTAATATTATTAAAAAATATACCCGCAAGCGATTTTCAAAAACGCCGATGCTCTCGTAAACCTCCTTATATTAATTACATAAACGGTTTAGAAAACGAAAAAAAAAATGTATAGAGTTTTGTGATTAATTATGATATTATACGCGTCGTTTTCGGCCGTACCCTATTTCGGAAATCTACATTAATGTTTTTAACACGCTCCGTTTTACAAAATCATAGAAGTGAATATATTGTTCTAATATTCCAAACTAATAAAAAATATAACAGGACAAAACCACGATAACACGGGTATGCGAAAAATTAACTGCAAAACACGTGGACATGCAGATACCAAAACAGATATGCCAACAACGACATAAACGCACAAAAAAAAATTAAAATAATAACAAAAAAACGATTATGGATACGGATATAGTTATATTATCGCGTCCCATTTCGACCCTTTTCAAGTTTCGATTACGTCCGTCATAAATGTTACTCCGACTAGTCTGACTATTACAACTCACATTCATAGGTACAAACTATAGTACCTACTTTGAAGGTATTAATCTTATAAACTTCTTTCGTTGCACAAATTAAAAATATCTAACATTAATATTTGTATATTATTTTCCTCCGATATTCGAATGAAATTCCAATAATATTTTTCTTCGTAGATTCTTTGCCAATAAATTCCTGAAAATCGAACTATATCAAAGAATATGAGTACAGCCTTTGAATCCGTTTCTGGGAAATACTGGGAAAACAGATTCTAAAACAATTTGTCACCCTCTCGCCGTTTGTTTGAGGTTGCCTTTTTAGTCTTTCGCTCAAGGTACCAATTTCGCGTATATCACCCGCGCCTCAGATCATGTTTGATATTTTTATGTATATCAAATATATTATTTTAAAACGATAATATTATAAATCCAGCGCGACGGTAGTGGCACGAAGGTAAGTGGAAAAAAAATTTGCGTAGTAGCCACTAACGTATATAAACTATAAACGTATATTAAATATAATGATATAAGGAATCAATCGATCAAAAATATTGTATAGATGGAAACAGGAGAACTCGCAAGTGGATTGATTAGATGGAATAAAAGTTACAACCAAAAATGTTCAAGTACTTTCAAGTCCGACTTTTCGTATTCGAAAAAAATATCGTAAAATATCTACTCTCGTTGTTTCGGCGACGACAACGCCGTTATTTGGTTTATATTTAACGACCAGTTTTGAATTCAAATTTCATCTTCAAGTTTAGCAAAGTCAAATAACATCGTGACTTTTTTTTTTATCAAAAATAGCCGATATCACACCAAAAACAATTTATTATAACTCCGTGTAAAATAAAGCTCTATTAAAAAAAATTAAATTTAGTAATAATAAAATTTCTAAAAGACGTAATATAATTTGGAAACTAAGTAAAATGCCATTTTATATTATTACAAATACCCATGACGACAAATAAAATCAATTGTAAAGTTAAATACTTAGTCAACATATTTTTTATGAATTATTAATTAATTTATGAAATTTACTATAGTATACTTAGTAAGTAACTACTTCGTAAGTAACTAAGTAACTACTTATTTGTATTTATTTAAGTATATTTACACGTCGTGTCAAGTAATTAAACAATATTTTGACTAAGTATTTAACTTAATAATTGATCTTATTTATCGTCATAGATATTTGTAATATTATAAAATCGCATTTTACTTAGTTTCCATATTATATCAAGTCTTTTAAAGATTTAATCATTACTAAATTTAATTTTTTTTTTAACTTGGCTTTTTTTACACGGAGTTATAACGAAGTGTTTTTGGTGTGTTATAATATACATTCGTATCTGATCAGCAGTTTCTTTGTAACAGTCATTTCAATTTCTAATGAAAAGTTGTGAGAAACAGGACTACCACATAACGCGATAGAGGAATAACTTGATTTATTGTGTTAGACAATGTTGGAAATTAAAAAGGCTGTTACTGAAAAATCGCAGCTGATCGGATATGAATACATGATATATTAATATAATGAAGAATAGAAAGAAGTGTAAAATAATATCTTACTTAATATGGTCTTTTTTAAATCTATGTAAAGTGAATAAATAGTTATTATTATTATTATTATTATTTAGCCTTTTAGGGCAGCATTTCTCAAACTTTTTGTTTCACTTATTCTCCTTTATCCTCTCAATTGCTACTAACACACATAATGTTAATTCATCAAATTTCACATGGAGCACGCAACCAATAGATAAATGCAAAAAGTTGGTAATGGAAAATTTGGAAATTTGTATTTATTTTAATTACCGTACACTGCAGCGGCTATAGTACAGAAAATTTAATTTTTATCCGATTCTTTACAAATAACAAACCGTTTCAAATGCATCACGTTGTACTTTTACCGACATTATCATTATTATTTCTTTGTCGCGTACCGCCGGTGTAGAAACGTTGGATTGGGGGATGAAAAATGAAAATACAAATTTAATTTTATATCTAAATAGATTCAAGATAAGTGGATTTAAAACGAAAAACTAAATACTAACAGCTCTCGAGAAATCCGTCGGAATGAGACGGGACGCCCTGTACGTATACCGGCCGTATGTCGTATAATTATCTCGGGCACATTGCCCCCTTTTTTTTCTTAACGGCCTTTTTTTTTTACGACTCTCATAGAAATACATAATACCCGTAATGCTATTATTGAGGTACCGGTATACTAACCGCAATAAAGGTCATCGTTTGACGGTAGGTCGCCGCCGCCACAAAGGTTAACACATCGAAGCGTATTATTTTTCGTTATACATTATTTTTTTATGAGCGGTTTCTCGCTGCTGAAATAAACGTGAATGTGCGAGACTCCGATGACGTCAACCCGGCCGTGTTGTGTGTCATTTATCCGCGGACGAGTCGAATACAATAAGATGTTCTTTTTTTTTTTATCATCTTATTCGTCTAGGTCAGAGATCCTGAAACCTTATCCTTTATTTTCGTGTACCATTCATATTATGTATTATGGATTTGTCACGTACCTTCTTATGACTAAAACTCGAACCATTCATAATGACTATACATTTATTTAAAAATAATATAAGAACAGCGCGTAAGACAGTAAAATACTACACTATAATTAACATTATAAAAATTAAAAATATAAAACAGTATAACGCATTAATAACATTTGTACAAGTATATATTAATTAATTATCCAAACTACTTTTCGGCATTTTGCGAGCCACTATGTTACCTACTACGTACCATAGTTTAAAAATTACTGATAAACGCGAAATAATTCTTCCGTGATAAATAATAACATTGCCTAGACAAATCTGTTAAAATCGTTATTTGCGCGTAGTAAATTCGGTAAAAATAATTTATAGGTAAAATGTAACGACGGACGGTAAAATATGTCAATAAAAGTAAATTGTTCGTGCGGAAAATACTACACTTAATGTTACAATTAACGCATGTCCTGGAATACTGTCAATAATAACAAATCAAAGTAAATTATTTTCTATACGAAGACCACGAATATCGGTTTCGTAAAACACTTAATGCCTGCGTACAACCGTGGCTTTGCTATTTGTAACATTTTTGTAGGTGTTTTTTTATTTTTTTTCAAATAATTATCTATCGCAGATATTACGGTTTAGACAGACTGAAGGGGAAACCAATCACAACCACGGTGAAACTCACTAAAAAGTCTTAGATATGAAAATGCTCGTGGTGCCTATATTGGTTCAACGCTAATTACGGATAGAAATGATGAGTGATAATTATTATGTAATCGCAATCCTTACGTCCTCACATAAGCCACGGCCGGAGCTCGTACTTAATTTAGCGTTTAAGCTAACGTTCACCAACACCGATATGATTAATTAAATTAAAAAATACCTAATACCGAGTCTGATACTGTGGTCGGTGGAAAGTTGCAGAGATTATAAGATACAAATGGTCTATATCTGTACCCATCGATTAATCATTTCTGATGAATTACCATTCTGAGCGAAATTATTTTATATGTCATTTGATAGGAAGTAATATTTTCGATTTTCATCAAAATTTGATCCATCATAAAAAAAAAACAACCTCTACATGAAACTTTGTTTTACCATTGTACTTAAAACGAACTTTTTGTTAAATTTTCAAACATTTCTGATCGGTCAAACAACTATATCTGTATAGTATATACCAAATAAAAACTAAGTAAAAAACTATAAATATATTATGAATTTTGTCAAAATTTTAAATTAATACAATAATTATAAAAAAAAAAAAAGGACGGACATACATCGCACGTAGGCGCAGTCACTTGTATAGATGGAAAGTTGGAAGTAAAGATAAACCATTGATAACGAAAAAACGATTCTGAGCGAAGTTCAATTGACAATACTATAAACTGAACTCCGTTCAACAGTATATCAATTTAACCTAAAGAACCCGGTTTTCCTTATTATCTCGAAAGTCAATGACAAATTTAAAAAATGACCTCTTTAAAGTACCATCCAAAGAACAATTTGCCTCAGAAAAGTTCAGAGTAATTTTTTTAGTGGAAATAGTGTTCACATACCAAAAAATAAAAATAAAATAAACATCTTTATAAAACCAATACATTTTTTGTTAAACTCAGAATCTAAAATTAATACATATTTGATTCAAATCTGTTTATATCATCAAATACATTTCACGACAAACATCGTTTACGATTCTGAGGGGAGTTCAGTTGACAGTGATGCTTCATCAACAATATATTTGCCATATTATAGTTAAATAAATAAACTTTGTGTATTCTCTTTTATAATGTTTGTTTAATGTTGTATCGATTTTCACAGTTTCCATACGTTTTTCCCGGTTTTTCACAATTGCTGGGAAAACTCATCAGAAAATGACCTCTCTAAAGTATCTCTCCAGTCGGATTTCCTTTTAGAAAAAATACTACCATTATAAATTGAATCAATATTGCTAGTAAAAAAATTGTTCACAGGAAACTAGAAGGCCAAAATATATTTTAACTATATTTCTTATATTTTCCTTTTTTCCTCAGTTTAGTTTCGGTTTTTCAAAATTAATGAGAAATCTTCTAATGCAATCAAAAAATAACCTCCTTCAAGTACCTCCCCAAACCGATTTCCTTTCAGAAAAAGTGCTACACTAAAAAACCTGTGGAAGATTTTTGTTAAAAAAGATGCGCACAGATTCGCTCCACTCAGAATGTAAAATTGAAAATAACGAAATAGTGTTTGTGCCCCATTTTTGAATAAAAACAACACATATTAAAACCGATAAATCTCTCGCTACGCTCAGAACCTGAAAGAAAAATAGCATTGGATATAAATGTTTAATACCTGTCCGATCCTATAAAAAAAATATTTTTCATATTATTCACTATATTGCTCTGTGGTGAATCTAAAACATGTGTCTTGAAGCGTGTCGTAACGGAAAATGCGCACATTAATCTGCAGCCTAATATCGTTTATGAAATTACCACAAACTAAGTGGGTGCACGTATACATAAGACGTGTCTATGACTCACTTTTCAGTTGTCATGCGTACGAGCTAAGAATATATTTTTAAATTTAATTACGTTTAAGTAGAATTTCAATTCGTATTTTTATACGTTTTGTCTAATTCAACAAAATCAATGTCAAATTTTCTTTATACAACACTTTTGCCGATTTTTAAAAAGGCGACAAATTAGGCTAATTCATTACTTTGGTTTTCTGTAATATATATAATAGGATATCAATTTTATTTGAAAATATTGTTTAGCTGGTATTAAATTTACGTAACGCTATTAATATGGCCATAAAAAAATACCGGGACGCAATTCGTATGCAGCCATATTATATGCATGGGAATAAATGCTAATTGGTAAGTGGTGATTATTTATCAATGGTTTATTATGAATGTAGTATGTAAATAACTCAAATATAATATTCTTATGAATACATTTCTACAATTTCCTCTTCTTCTTTAACTCAGTATAATTCAAAATTCCATCGAACAAACATTTCGTTTATCTGTTTTAATTTTAACTCGTTAAAACAAACTAGACAAAAAAAAAATAACAAAAACAAAAACATTAGTAGAGTTACATAAACATGATCAGTTCAAAATTGTACAGGGCTTGAGTCTCGGTAATACCTTTACAATATCTCAATTTTACTTCTTGAAAAAAAAATGAATACAAATTAAATGACTGTACAGAATAAATTCTCTAAAAATGGTTCATAAGTCAGGTGGATCTTTATCATTTTATATAATATAGTACAATATTATTATTTACATGCAAAAATAAAACTATTTTGTACTTTAAATTGCTTTTCTTTTTTCGAAACTCCGCGATACTTTCATCCGCAATTATTCCTTACAGCAGAGATCTCTCTGTGGTCACGGATAAAACTAACGCAATACAAGAATACTGTTCTACATACATACATGTCAATTCTTATAATATTTTATTAATAATTATCACACACAGGGCTGTTTCAGTAGTACGTGCCCACGTTTTTCAATCTACAATAAATAATTAACACGGTAATAGGCTTCGGATGTGAAGTTAAATACGTAAATAATATACATATATTCTCGTTGAGTCAAATAAAAATAAAATTTGGATTTGGAAATGTTCAATGTAATAAACATTATGGGATAGACGTTTTAAATATACCACGCATACTTAATAAAGTTACTTTTAATGTCACGTCGGTGTCACATTTTTAAACGATTACAAAAAAAACACCATAAATTTACAATAAAAAAACCCTGTTGTAATCGATTGACCAATGTGACACGTGACGACGACACGTACACAATGATATTTTTCGATATTCAAAAAAAAAAAATAAATAATAATATCATATCATCGTAATAATTTGAAATCTTTACGGCAGAAGAGACGGTTATTTATTCTGTACGGCTACGAAATTCAATAATCGCCTAACCCGACTGCACTCAAGGGATACATCGAAGAAAAAACTTATTCGCGCTTTTCCTATTCATTTTTTCTATGGATCGTTTAGAATTTTAACATTGGTCGCGGAGGAACGAATACATAAATATATATCGTTACGATTTTACAATGATGCGCTGCTATTTTTTTAAATTAGTCAGTTGGCTCGCTTTGGATTGAAACGATAGTTTTATCCAACTTTTAGGTTTGAAATTAATATATAACTATTGATTAATATCGTAAATAGTGAATAACTTCGTAATACAAAATGTTTATTTGATCCGAAATTTAATTTCTTTAAGTTATTTGCATACCCTGCCTGTCTTTTATAGTTCTATTAGACGTATGATTATAATATTACCATATTAAATGATTCAAAATAATATTTTACAAATTGCATGTTGCCGAAACAAAACTACACGCGAGTAAGCACCAAACGTGTAACAGAAAAAATACTATAATTCTTGAAAAAAAATAATTAAAACTGTCGAATCAAATTAAAATTTCAAGATGGACCATCGTATACCCTGACACATCCTTGGTGCCGTCACTTTTAGTAAGCTCAATCAAAAACAACGAATTTGAATGGATATAGGAACATACGTACTAAAAAAATAATTTCATCCCGTTTCTCAAACACGATTATCTCATTATTATTTGAATTTATACCAATCCTCCAACCATTTTTGCCCATTTGATCAAAATTATTTTTACCATGTTTGGTCATTTCGTCTTTGACTTTTCGAAAGATATTTTATCAATTGGATTCTGGTCCAGCACGAATCCGTAGTAATGGATTATTGTTTTTTCAGTACACGTATATCCTGTCACAGTTTATCTTATTTGATGATCGCTAAATACCATTATGTTTTTCTCTAAACGAAGCTCTTTGTTTTTCCATTGCCGCTGTTTTCAGGTTATGTTATCGTTTGCTGCTACCATCAACTTTTGCTGTATGTATGATTTCAGTTATTATTTCGCCAAGATATTTAAAACGATCTACCAATTCGTATCGATCTATTTTATAAATACAATATACGCCACCCGCTGTTCTTATCTCCTTATAATATAATACTGCGTTTTCATCTCATTCACCTGAAGTTTAGTTTCACTTTCAATGCTGCATTATTATTAATGTACAAACGTTATTATCATAATAATATTATGCAAGCGTCTAGAACTGGAATAATAATATTATTGGTTTATAGAATTTCGCCGCCAACGTTCGCCAAGTCAGAACGTTTGTTTGTAGAGAGTGTTTATTAGACTGCTACATCCGTTAAATCATTCTGCTCTTATATTGCATTATTATGTTGAATTTTGTCTATCACAATAATACTATAAACGCGGAATAAATCCGAAAACAAATAACGGCGTTTTACACAGAGCGTATTGAGCTGAAGCTGTAGCAGTTTTTATACATGCTTACATTTAAATAAATATTAACAAGATATTACACTGCTGTGCCCAGAATTTCCAAAAGAGGAAAAATGTACGTTAATGTAAATATTAAAAAAAAAATGTGTTTACATTTATTATATATTTTTTTATAAAAATAATGTATTATACACCGAAAAATTTGCACGTTTTAAGAGGTACTATATGCAAATTTTGGCACACATCTACTAACTGTAAGTGTAAAACAAAGAAAACGATACTTAGTTTGCACATGTGTATCATGTCTCTAATACTCTCTCTAATACTATGTATTGTATATACATAGCAAGAGACGATTATTACCTCATGTGTATTATTACCACGGTGATAAATAATTTCCTAAAGTAGATACTCATTGTAATATTTTATTTTATATTCTGAGTATAGCGATGAATCCATTGGTTTCGATTTTACTAAGATTATAATACTATAAGATAACCTACTATAATACTTAAGATTACTAAGATTATAATTATTATTATTTTTAAACTTAGTAATTTTACAGGAAATCTCGCTCCAAAGAATCAAGCATAGGACTTTTTCTAAAAGGGAATTTTCCTAGGGGTGGTACTTTATTTTCTAAGGAGTTCTCCCAACAAATGAGAAAAACGAAAAAATAGATACAATATTAAATAATTATTATTAAAGAAAATATATAATGCATATGTAACTATTTTACCATAATGTGACATATATATTGTTGACAAGCCAACACTATTAACTGAATTCCACTCAGAATTGTTTTTCGTTAGCAATAGTCAATTGTTGCCTACAGATAGGTATACAGTTATAATGGATAATATTATAAAACAAGGCGATGCTTGCAAAAAACTTAATCTGACCTTACTGAAAGTTGTTTCTGAATAAATTCAGTGTAAATCCCTAAAGCAGTAAATTTATACTAGCTTATAATTTTTAAAATACTTTTTGTTTAAAACATTTTAAGCATCTTTTTTTTTTAAAAACATTTTAGGAGTTCGCGTTCGGCCGCCGTCGTGCACACTGCTTGCGATCCGTCTGTGTTCGTTATTTTATTCTGTATCTTGGTCTTATGTATCAATTAAATTATACTTAAAACTTAGGTGTTTAAATAACTGACTACGTAATTGAAATCATTATTTAATTTCTCTAATTATTTATAGTTGCTATAATTAACAAATACTTAATAATCTCGTCGTTGCTTTCCTAATATTTATTATACCTTTTTCAACCCGCGTGCTGTCTTATCGCACGCCGCTGCGGCGGCAGTGTCTTCAGCTTATCGAAATTATAACTTATGCGTAAACCTACATCCAAAAATAAACACACAAATTCAGCCGTCGCCAAAACAAGCGATCATCTACAGCCTGCTCGCCTAAACANCACTTCTGAACAAAAGTCGCCAAAAACAAAAAGCAACAAAAAATTATTTTTTACGGCTAACCGCTTGAACCGCTTTCACAAGATGATCCAATGCCCACCACTTCAACTGGACCTACTCTAACGTTTCCTCAAGAGTCAAATCCAGATGGGAACATCAATGTCGGAGTCAAATCAACTCTACCCCCACCAATTTTTGTAAAAGGTGTAATCTGTTTTACCGATCTCTGCTCAGAACTCATCGAGCTAATTGGAGTAGACAATTTATCCTGTATATTATTTTTATTTTTTTTTTAATGCTGCAATATTGTTAGTATTTTAGGTTCATAGTTTTACTACTCATGTGTGTGTATGTATTCTTTGTGTAAACAATTTTTTGACCAGAAATGGCGTTTATACAAAAACACCATAAGTGCTTTCTTGTTGAAAATGCTGACATAGTTATAGCATTTTAGTGGTAATTTTTTTATTTCTAATTAATTAGAAAAACTGAAGAAAAAACCGTAGCAAAAACTATACAATTCTAATTATTTTCTATTTTGTTTTTATATTTTAATTCGGTTTAAAATAGTTTTAGAGAACACTTTCTAGACGTGGTAAAAACTTAATGGTAGTTTTTGAGGTATTTATTAGCATTTTACATTTTCGATTTTTTTTTTTTGATTTATCATTTGATTTTATCCGAATTTTGACCAAGCGAAAAAACTGAATAATTTAATACAAGTTTCATTATAAATTAATATTCAAAGTAAAACAATTCGTGGAGCGTAATGTAGTAGGTTTTTTTATAAGCGATTTTAAGTACAAATGTTAAGAAAAATCGTAAAATTCACGAGGTTTCATAATATTTTTCAGAATGATTTATCGTTGACTAGAGACATAAATTAAACGGTTTTATTTTTTTACCCTACCAGCTTTGCACCTACGACACACTCGTCAGCAGTATCAGATCATTTTTTATGCATTTTAACTTTTAAGTTCGTTTAAATGTTCGTACGGCTTAATCTGTAAAAAAAGGCAAACAATAATTGTAGCTACTTAATTGTTATTTGCATTTAATTTTTAATTTTTTGTAAAATGGAGTTTTTCTTTATGTATCATATTATTTATTATTTTATAGTTACAGATTTATACAATTTAAATTTAAGCAAAAACGTTTTAACTCGCTTAGAATTGGTTGCAATAGTTTACCAAATTACAATTCTAAAAAACACTTCAAAACTGTTTAAAATATAAAATTCACGTTAAAAAAAGTTTTATCAAAAAGTTTTTTTTATAAACACTGCAGTTTAACAAGTACACTGAAATACATTTTTATTTTAAATTTAGATGTTTAATCTGGTTTTTGTATGATATGGTTATTTGCCGAAATAGTTGTCCAAAGATCTAAATTTATGACTAAGGAAAGGAATTTATGAACAAATTGAATAACGAGCTCTTCCTTTTAGCAGAAACTACACAAATAGTTATCTTTTAATGGTCTCGTCGAAAGACAAAATAAAACAAAATTATTATTTGAAAGTTTTATACAATTATGTAATGAATTACCTTTCATTTTGAAAGGCGTATAACAACATTCTTCACCGGGATTGAATGTCATACTGGCTTTTCAAATTGTTGTACCAAGGTTACTTTATACCCATCGTTTCACCGACGACCGACCACAAAATAACGCCTCAGTAAAGAGAAAATTTAATTACGTTTTATCATGATAAAAAATAAAATTATAATTAACTGATAAGGAGATTGTCCACTAAGTATTATGTTTTGTAAACAGCTTTGCAAATCATATAAGATTAAAATCAGTTCAGATATCGATACCTTGGTAACATATAATATTCATTTTAGAAAACGGTTTTTAATTTTATAGAATCCATAGCCATTGGTAAATATTATGGGTCTATAAAGTTTTATGCAACTCGGCATCAAATTCGAGTCTATGATAATTTAGTATGTAAAAATGTGTTACATAATTATTATGATTTTCAGGTAACAGCCAAATCTTATCTGCAATACCACTATACGTTTTAATATATATACGGAGACGATGAATATACGTCTTAAAAATAAATAAATCCGGTGAAAGGGGGAGGGAAAATAGTTTTCGTGACCCTTCGATACGCCACTACGATATAATTATAATAATATTTTTTTCTATCCTTTTAAATCGCGTAGTATACTGGTATATTGCAGTTTATTTTATTTGAAACCGCTAATATAGGTAATCTACTAAGTGGATTTTATATTTATTTATTTTTTTATTTTGTTATTTTTGTTGATTCCGCCGATTCTTTGCCACGTCGCTTTATCGGGTTTTTTTTATATAAAGTAGAGGCAAACATTTACCGAATCATTTTTGTCTGTTGACAGTAAAAACTAAAATACGATTCTATGATAAATAAACATTTCAATAAATTCAATATAATATATTGAATATATTATATCAATATGTACTCGTAATTCTATTAAAATAATAATATTGTGATAAAAAAACATAGACAGATCGATCACAGCAGCGGTTTGACGATTTTAAATGATCTGGACAAGCCTAAAGTTAACCCACAGATTTGGTATTTTAATTTTATCATGTAAAAAATCAGTTATGCTAAGTTATTATTACTGCTATACTATTCCCTAACAAATCCAATAGTTAAAATAAGAAAAAAAGGATGGTACTGCTGATGGGTGTGCTATTATTTTATGAGAGAAGTTGGAAGGGAAGATTTATAGAGTAATTCGATTTGTATCTGTCCGCTTTTTTAAACTCTTGCTAATAAAAAAAGATTCTGAACAGAATATTATTAACTGTATTTGTCTCTCACGTAACCAAGATAACCTACAAATAAATACAATTTGCCAGTTCTTCTCGTTTATTAAAAAAAAAAAAAAAAACTACAAGGAAAATGAACCGTGTGCATTCTGTGTGGCAGTATAATATAATGGGTACGTAAACTTTTTAGAAACAAAAACAATAATATTTTTTCCCGATACTATATTATTGTGTGAAAAACAACGAACAATTTTACGCATGAACGCCCCTGTTAATCTTTTGGTTGTCCTCCGGGTCGTTTCCCAGGACGACGGGCAAATGTCGAAGGGGCGATTTATCTAAGCGCGTTTAGCTAAGATTTAGCAAGGTGGTAGCTCCCTACATAGGGGGCTACCAAAGAGTGATTACCAACATCAAAATTTCTTGAACTATAAGGTGAAGTAAATTTTACTTTTTTTTTCTACGTCCCTCTTCTTCACACTGACTATGGCTATAACCACTCTATTCATCGGATAATGCGTTTAGCTAATGGGAACCCCCGAACTTTTTACGTTTTTCATATGTCATAATTTCAAATGTATACCTTAGACACTCGACCGTATAATGTATGTGTATAATATGTAATTACGTACACAATAAAATTACCGATAAATCTGCCGCACATACACCTTGCATATTAATTTGAATAATATCCCGTTGATAATATTCCATTATATGCAATTTTAATTTCTTCATGTCCAACAGGTGAATATAGGATATCGGTATGCCCGCGCAACACCAATAATCTCCATAATCGGCCGTATTATAATATTTCGATAATAATATTCGTTTCAAAAACAATGTTGGCAGGGGTTATAATACTATAAACTAGCTTGTGACTGCACGCACAATAGCGCATTGCACTCAATTCAAAACTTATTAATATATTTTATTATATAGTGACGGTGTTCAAATTGAATCGGCGACGTGCCAATAATTTGTCCGTTTTTGTGTTTGCATATTTTATCGTACAATATTATTGTGTTACACAATACGGCAATCGAAAAACCACGCATAAGCGTCAAAAATATTATCTCGTAAGTATAATAAATCATAATTTATAAGGTTTATGTTCCGTATACATTATTATTATATTTATAACGGAGACCAATGCAGACAGCAATATTGTACGTGTAATATATAATAGTATAATATAGTTTGACTTCTGTAATTTTTTTTATAGCCCGGAAATATAGTATTTATAATGCGCCGACGATATAGGAGAAGGAGGGGGAGGAATGCATAAAACATAGAAAACACTCCCGACGAGTCAGTGGCCAATATGATTGGGCAGACACCGGATTCAGACACCCCCTTCGACCGTGTTAGGGGGAAAAACCAAATATTTTATTGTTTGTTTATCGTTTATAAATTTCAATTATTTCAACGTTTTAAAATCTATATTATCATAGGAATACGAACTTGGAAAACCGATTAAATGGAATAGTTCTCCTCAATATGTACACGCAGAGATATATCGGTTACGGTTAACAAAATCGTAGATGTATTGGCGTCGGAAAAACGGGGGTTAGGTTTTTCACTGTGAATACATATTAGTACCTAAGGAAAATGTTAAGTTTTATAAAAATAACAAATTTTTTTTTTTTCATTCAAATATTGTACAATTTGTATTCATCTAACATATTATTATATATTAAGTATTACTGCTGTTATACATTTGAATCAATATTACCACGGTTCTATTATTGCTTGTTATAGTTATGGCGTTTCACTATAGCACTATTCAAACTTCATTTCATTAGGTATACATAACTTAAAAATGGTGGAGCTATTGAATTGGCTCCCAATTTAGGTAATCGATGTTTTTACATATTGAATTGGCTTCCAAGATGTATGTATTTATTTGAGTTCCTACAGCATAAAAAATCCATTAGTTATAAAAATTGTTTGAAATATTAATTTAAGTATAATATATTAAAATAATTAAAAAAACAAATATTACATTATATAGATCATCGAAAATGTTAAAATTTAGTAAATTTTAATATTTTTTTGGAGAGGTTCGTGATAGGTAAATTTAAAATTATTTACTATTAAAATTAATTATCTTTTTCACTATTTATTTTTTCGACCGAATTAATTTTATACATATCTTATAGAGGTACGAATTGTGACAAATTGTGACGTAGGTACTGCGTTTAACGATATCAGTGAAATTAGTAGTTAAATTGTATAATTACGATAGTTGTGACTGTTTAATACGTTATCAGATTAATGATTAGATAATTCCAAGCAGTTATTTGACATTATGTCACTAAAAATATTAAAATTCGTACTTTTTCCACTTTTATATTTATAGAACCACTTTATATTTTGAAAACCACTTAGTCAAAAATGTATTAAAAGCTAATTCAATATTTAGTTTTTTGGGTTCAAAGTTCGATGAGGTACTTCACATAACATTGGGAGCCAATTCAATGATCACCAAAAATGGGTATTTGTATTCATAACTAGATTTTTCAAGTTGTACTGGGACTTAAAACCCGGTCTTTATCTATTCTTACCTATTTATTTCTATTTCTACCTACCTATTCCTATCCTAAAAACCTATTCCTATTTATGTTTTTGAAATCTTTCCAAAAACATTCATAGGAAATATGCCTAGCCTCTAGCAGCCATCTCTTTTCACTCCGATGAATATACACTATGAAACGATATTCATTTTTCTAATTTGTTAAATTATTCGTTACAATTTCAAAAATAAATCAAAGAGATATGGATTGTTAAAAATGAATGTAGTTTCTTTGTTACCTTTGTAACATTTTTTATATTCTTTGTTAATTAAAACAATTACAGAAAATTAAAAAAAAATTAATTAGGAAACGCCACGAAAGGTCGAAAATATTATAAAAACCCGCCGTTCAATTATCAAATAATCAAACTAATTTACCGAATAATAATAATTTTTTATCTAAATATTATATTTTTCATCCTACGTGCGTAAAGTGTTTCGTAGAAAAAAAATAATTGTGTGTTTGTTCTAAAACAAATATCTTCTCATTTGTTTCTTCGCTTATCACTCGGAATCCAAAACACATGCGGAAACTCCAGATTTTCATTAATTTTCTCCCGCCGCACTCCTATGTAATGATCGTATTTATGAAAAATATATATATTATATATGTATATATATATATATATACATTGCTAAAACGGTGAACAAGTCACGTGTCGTGTATTGAATACTTTCCATTGCAATTCGCCTAAGTGCTTTTATATGCGAACAGATGTAAGGAGCACCACGACGTAGCGCCGATGAAAGGGGGGAAAAAAATAGGAGGTTTTTCATTCCACAGAGATTGTTCAAAAGCCTCTCGGCACACTATTTATAACGAACTCCCGGTTCCGATATTATATTCTCGTTTTGATTCACAAAAAGTATAAACCTACACTTATACAATGTGCCGGTAATTGATGCAGTAATGTAAAGGGAATAGAGTAAAAAATAAAAGTCATTTGTTAAAATATTTCAGCCATACGATTTCGCATTCGCAATATCTTTTAACGTTAAAAATTTAAATTGTATACAGTTACAGCGGCTAGTCAGGGTCGGTTTTAATTATTTACGAGTGCCACACCGCGGGCACAATAGAGTAAACCCAACAAGGTACAAGGTGCAATATTATTCACGAGTTCTTAATTAATTACCGCGGTAGTTTTGTGAGATTTTAGTTAATTTATTTTTCCGTTGCAGTGGACGGTGTTACAGATTATTTCAAATTATATAGAGTGCCCAAGGAAGATATACCTATTGCGATCATTTATGTGTCGGCACGGCGAGCAACGATTGGAGTAGTGCCCCACTACTCTCCCCCTACCAAAACGTAAAAATGGAATATCTATCCGTTAACGGGTTGACGGAAATATTAAAAATGTCAACGCAATATGTGAAATTTATTTAAACTATAATACTCCGTCTATTTTTGGAATTTTTAACATAATTCGCCATATGAAAATCAAAAGTGGGTAGTTGTTTTACCTCCCCGCAAAAAAAAAAAAACTCCGAAAAATTTTAATACTTCCCGAGATATCGCGATCGGTTTTATCTTCATTGGACACTCTGTATGTATATTATAAAAACATCAATTCCCTAGTACCGTGCTGCTATATTTTTTTAAGGGGGAGGGAAAGATTAAAACAAACATTAAGCGTACGGAAAGTGTAAAGCTGTTAATATTATAACCCACCGCCTATCAGAGAATTCGCAAACAATATTGTTATATTTTTAGACGACATAAAATGTTGTATTAAGCTATTTTTTGTCGGAAAGGGAGGGAAATTAATGATTCATATTTTAGTTTATTGATTTTACGTCAAAAATACAGTTTTATTTATTTAGGTGCGATTAGTTCACTCAGAAATAAATTATGTCCTTGTTATTCTACTTTTTTTCTTTTTTTTTTTTTCAAAAAAGACGTAAATAAATGCGACGAACGCGCGCGTGCATTAAAAACTTAATGATTCTAATGATATTTAACAAATACCTACGAAATATTATAATTTTTCATCATGTTTTTTGAGAATACTAGTATTTCATTGGCGGTTAAACTTAAACTATTATGTGTACTTGTCAACACGAAATTATCGATGATAATATTATTGTAAGTAGGTACGTAATTTATAGTTTATTATATACATGTATATATATATATATAATGATTACGGTAAATATTGTAAAATCGGTTAATGTTGTTATATTTTATACTTCGTGTGTATAAAAACCGATTGTGCGCTGTTAGTTTAAACATTAAAGTGTGTTTGTTTATAATGAAAAACATAAAGATAAAAACATTGTCTATGTTTGTACGTTAGTTTTTTTTTTCGAAATTTTTATTTTCAAGTTAGTTACGGATATATAACCTATTACAATTTTAAAATCATCCTATCTTGCTTAAAAATTAAAATATCGAAAAAATATCAAAGTATAAATACAAACAATATTCTCACCTTTAAGTTTGATAATAAGCTAACATACTCTAATATTAAAACTAATGGCACAAAATAGGTTAATATATAAAAATGAAAAGATTAACCGATTTCACAACATTTAGCGTAACATATGTAGAGGGTGATCAATCTATCGTAGACACTCATTATCTCGGAAAGTTTTTACTTTTTCCGTAATTTATTTTCCAGAATATTTAAGAAACAAGTTGCTCTACAGTTTTATATTTGTGTTATTTTTGACAGCATCATTTTCGGGGGTAAAACCACTTCCTACTTTTGATTTTCAAATGACAACCCATATTGAAAATCCCATAAATAGACGAAGTATTATTTAAAATACATTTTAGTGTGGACATTTTTGATTTCCGTCAATCCGTTGACGAGATATTCCACTTTTAAGAATGGGTTGCAGGAGAATATTGCAAGAGTATCATTTGTGTGGCGGTACGGCCGCGACGTGCTAATAATGCACTATTATTCTCCTGCAACCCATCCTTAAAAGTGAATATCTCGTCAACAAATTGATGGAAATCAAAAATTTCAACACTAAAATGTATTTTAAATAATACTTCGTTTATTTATGGAATTTTCAGTATAGATTGCTATTTGAAAATCAAAAGTAAGTAGTGGTTTTATCCATACAAATAAGAGTGAAAAAACAACATAAATATAAAATTGTAGAGCAGCTTGTTTCTTAACTTTTCTAGAAAATAAATTCCGGAAAAAAGTTAATACTTTCCGAGATAATGATGATCTTACGATAGATTGATCACTCCATATATATATATATATATATTTTTTTTTTTAGGTATTCAAATATTGCCGGTGTCTATAATACCCGCTATGGTACACACGCGACAACACAGACAATTCGGAAGAAAAAAAAAGAACAGACGCAGTAAACGGTTCGTACTTTTGTATTATAATAATAATAATATACTAGCTATGTACACTAGTGATCCACTCATTAGCCTCAATCGCGTGATAGGGCGCATGCGAGAAAATCGGAGGCACTTAAAATTAATGATTTCCGCCATACGCGCGTCTGGAGAACGGGCGATATATACGTATACCTATTATAATTATTATTATTTTCTTCCCTAACCGGAAGTTTTCTTATAACCAATTCGTGTGTTTACACCGCGCGCGATACCGATTAAAGGGTAAACTTTTGGACGCAGCATGTCGTGATACCGTGAGTGAAACTATTAGCCTGTAAACCAAAGGAAATTCCCCGCAATGCGTGTACTGCACGTGAATCAACGTAATAATAATATTGTTATTATGTTATTTTATGAGAGTTACACGCGACCGACATTTCGAGTCTTGCAATACTTCTAATATGAATCCGGCACGCGAACGATACGACGTGACGACCGATCTCAGTTGAGTCTGAACAGTTATCAATCCGATATCAGATAAATGCAAGTCTGGGCATTAACGATTTAATAATTGTTAAAGTTTTAGTTAATTTAACTTTTTAACTTAATAAATTAATTTTTTGTTGAACTATAAAATTAACTGTTAAATATTTGAAGAATACAAAATAACTAAATTTTAATTAACTATAGAGTTAATTTTATATTTAAATAAGTTAAGTTAATTTCAATTTATATTTGTATGTTCATATAAATAAATATATTATTATTATTATATATCATGAACATTTAAAAATATGAATGGTTATAAACACTTCTGTGATTATCTGTTTTTTTTTACTGTTGTCACCTGTCGGGGGTTGAAGGTAAATTATTAATAGATCATTATAGTAGGTTATATACAATAATATTAAGTACATTATTTTTTTATTTAACTTAATTTGAGTTAAAAAGTTAATTTTAACTTTTGATTAATTTCTAGCTTAGTTGAATTGATGAATTATTTTGAAATTAACCTTATTTGAATTTAAATTTAACTTAACTGAGTTGAAAAAAAATCATATACTTGTCCAACCTTGGGTAAATGAGGTGATATTTTACGGCGGTACAGATGATACGTTGACCTATGTAACCTAGTAACCTAGGCAAATTGACTGTTTTCGAGACAATCGTCCCCGACCCAATCTAGGTACTGTATATTATTATACAGCATGGGTGAAAGTTCTATACAATAACATTAGAATGTGACGTCTCGAGAATGTTACGGACGGACATAACTCATTTACATGACGATACGGACTTTCGATCGTCCAGGTCAAATGCGAAGAGAGTATAGTACCTATTGATACCTATTGATATAACGTAACTAATATTAAAACACCAATCGGATTCTCCATCAGGATTCTGAGGATAACATGACGTTGTATACTTACCGAAGTACAAGAATACGGTATCACTACAAGTCCATACGCTTTGGATAAACTTATAGAAATATAAATACTTAAAAATGTAATACCTACGCAGTCATCCTGAAATTCGAAGTTATAATCATTCTGCAAACACCCTGCCAACTGCTACATTGCAGTCAATCGTGTCTTATGAATCGTTTTGGAATCAAAGACGAGATATGTACACGGATTTTATTTTACTCAACGTAATAAAATCAATTACTGCGATTCATAAATTTTAAATATTTTGTACTTACTCAAAACGCGTTGAATCTTATTCCATTCTGCAGGATTATCCGCCACACGAACTAAAAATTCCAAAAGATCATCGTCTACCATGGCCGTTTGCATCTATAATTAAAATACATATTATAGTAGCATATAATATTTAAATCACGATTGAAATAATAATAATATCCAAAATGAAATTGAACTTGAATGAAAATGTTTCACCCACCTTTTTGGACGGCCTGATGTAATGCCGTTCGTTGGGATATTTTATAGCGGTATCTGAAACAAAAATCACGAATAATTTTAATATTTTAAAATGTATTCTACCGTGGTACGCCGTGCGTAAATCTTTGCCGAAACGGTAAATAAGACAAACGGTTAATATTGTAATTGGGGCTGTGGTTTAAACGAGCTAAAAAAAAAAAATTATTTAAAAATGTATTTATTGCAAAATTTAAAAAGTAAAAACCCAAAAATTTCTTTGCACCATGGTTAAGTAACTATTGTAGATACAAAGTTTGAAAGGTATATTGTGAACTATGAATTAAAAATAATACAATCAAAAAGCGGTTCTGGACAGAGATCTTAGTAAACTGACAAGAATATTATAGTATTGTCCTTTGTTTTGATTTTGTAGGAAAACTGCAACCCGTCTAGAATCTAGAAAAGTTATTCAAATGAGATACCATCGTCTAGCGGAAAATCAGTATTTGTTAAGATATATGGTATGAAACAATTTGAACATTTTTAAAATCTAAAATGACAGGAATGAAACTTATCTTAGTAAAAATAGTTCTTCGCACCGCGCTCCGAATCTAAAGAGCGCCAATAAATTTTCGAAGGATAGTTTTTACTCTTCGTGATACTTGTCTATACGGCCAATAAAAAAAATCGATTCTGACGTTTATTATATAATAATATGAGTGCTTATTCAAATGTAGTGTTATTCGGTGTTTCGACATTCCAGACCGTTTATCGTAAATAATAATAATATGACGTGCTTTTAGCATTTTTCACGTTTATACGAACTGTGGTCTCTCCCGTTATTCGTATACAGGTAGGGGAGGGGAGTGAAAAAGCCGCGCCTCGTGAGTGATATATGAACTTCCATTAGCATTGACTTGTATTCGCCCACCGTATTATATTATTATGTGTATCGTTCGTTCCCACTTCCCCTTAGCCGTAGGTGTTTCATAAATAATAATTCAAATACCGACATACCTACTAAACGTCTCTCCCTTTTTTTGCTCTAAAAAATTTAACGCTATACGATAAACCATTTATCAGTATTTTTTCTCCCCCGTGCATTTTATTGTGTACGCGGGACGATAATAATTGGCTGTGCAGTGTTCCCGATATATCAATCGACCCCGCAACGACTGTTATTTATTTCGGGAAACACACTTGGAGACGATGTAAACAAAAATAGGCAGGCATACCTACGGTTCATTTCATCCCTTTGGCCGTTTGAATATAGGTATACTTACTAAATTGTGCGATAAAACCTTTAACGTTTTGTGTTCTTCGTTAAAATGTAATTTCAAATGCGAAAGATACCCGACGTAGCGAAATTGGCCGCATAAAATATATAATATACGTACCGATAATATAAACAATATATTTTTTTTGTGCGCATTAAAATGTTAGTAATGATTGACACGTTGTTATTATGACCACAATATTATTTTACACTCTGGAAGCGAATTACGTTTTTTGCGATACAGTCAAGATCGAATTTTTTAATCTTCGACTTTCTAAAATAGATTTAGGTGAACGTAAAAATGTATGTACATAAAAAGGGCTAACGTTTTTAATTCAGTAGATAATTAGGAGAAGAATTTACAATATTGCACTTTAAAAAAATAAATAAATCCTGCTGTTACTAAAAGTCTAAAGGTAATTTTACTATTTTAATATTCACCTGCAATATATTTTATTTTATGTAGATACGTAAATTAAACGATCTTTTTCGCGAAGAATTAGAATGAAAAAAAATGAACGCAATTAGTCCGCGTTCTTGAAATCGATGCAGAAGTTCAAAAGCCAATCTCGGTTGCATCTCGTATCACAATACAGTTCTGTCAAGTTACGAGTATTTTGTATTGCGATACTAAAATCAATATATTTATTTGAAGTGTTTTGCCAACAAACGACAAAGGAGGATCATTTTTCAATTATCCAAATACGTTAAAAATTAAATGTGATTGCCAGATTGCACATAAATCTGGGGAATTTTTAAAACAGGCGAATAACAGTATCTTTATATAAGATACTGAATGAGAAATACTAAAAAAAAAAAAATTTATTCTTTGATTTGTATTTATCCAATATTAACTATCGAGTATCAAGTATCTTGTATTGCTATACTTGTCAAATATCAAATATCTAACGTGTATATCACCCATTACATGATTATAAGTATATTCCAATATGTGAGTTAGAAAAAGGACGAGTAAAAAACATGGCATTCCGTATCAAGTTATTGGTTCGTACAATGACAGTTGCTATCGCAGAGACAAAGACTATACGATGATAATAATTATAGCAGAGTGAATTTCGATAGAAATTGCTGTGATGCTGTAAATATGCGATACGTGTACAGTGTACACGAATACACGACAGTTGTGTTTAAAACTATCTATATTTTCACAGTCCGGCGATAGTAACTACCTCAACTACTATGACATGCCAGTTGAATGATAGTCGATTTCACGATAGTTCGATACCACAACGCTACCAATCTGTTTACGGAAAGATAACCCGCGATAATGAATAACTATCACGGTTGCATATTCCGATACTACTATTCTAGCACAAAATAACACAGGATTTGGCCTCTATAATATAGGTACGGTTTTACCGAAAATCTTGGCTCTTGGACAATATACAACGTTAAAAATAATTATTTAAATATATCAGAATGAGACTTGTAAATTGCTGACGTCGTATCGCCTAATATTAAACGTATACCAACCTACGCAATAACCGACGGTTTGAAACAAAAGAAAATCGTCCGAAATAACGACGATAGGACCCGTTTAATATATTACACATAATATTATCTGCAACCGAGGTAAACGAAAATACGAATTTTCGAAAAATCAAAAATCTGCATTTTCGGTGGTAAAATATGTTTAATACCTAACGCTAGTGTCTACTACTATCTTTTTAAACGATTTTATAGAGATAAAATACCGATATGTGATTATAATAAAGAGCTAATACTGCTAACGAGTATATTGTCACTGTTGTAGTTGGGAATTCAGAAAGGTAGAACACATAGAGTTGTTTAACGGAACGTTATAACCATTCCTAACAAAACGACACCTAGTGAAACTAGCTTAAGTGTAATGTGGTTAGGTTAGTGTAAAAAGTGCATCATACGTGATATTTTCGTTAAATTAATAGTTACTTATGAAAAGTAGGGTTTTTTTTTGACGATTTTTTGGTGTTACTCGGTAAAAACACCGTTGTTATTTGTTTATTTGGTAAAAGTACTCTTTTCGAACGATCAATTACTAAACAATAATTATTACAGTTAACTGTTTGATAGGAGGTGGCGGTGGAAACGGGGAGACACGTTAAATTGATGAATTTCTTTTACTGATCTCGTGTTTTTGAATATTAATATGTGTTTTAGAATATTAATATGTTATACGAGTACTAACCCGATAATGAGAATTAAACTGTATTCAAAAAGCCAATTTTATTCAATAAATCAAGCTTTTTTCGCCCTTGTGATTTTGATTAAAATTTATTATTTCAAAACAAAAATACTAATTGAACATTCATAACTATTATACCTTTAAGTCAATGGGGGATATAACCCCTATTCCCCCTTACGCGTGGGCTACTGAATAAACGTACTTAGTAAGTTAAAAATATAATAGAATCGTCGAACGATGTCGTAAAAAAGATATACGTATATATCTTGTTCGTTATTGTTCAATTTATTTATATTTGCATTACTTATTATAATTAATAATTATTAGTTTTTTTTGAAAGAGATAAAAAGAGATAAAGAATTATTTTTAAGAAATCTTATATTCTGCTACATAATATTGAAAAAATAACAGTATTTTTTGTGAAAATAATTCCGTATTTTTCACTAATTGGGTACTTCTTTATTATGAGTATTATATTATTATTGTATTATTTGTACCTAATTTATGAATTCAAATGTTCACTTTTATGAATATTTTTCGTATCCATTAAATAGTCAAGACAGAGTTTACATTAATTTTTGTATTGGAAGACTTGTGCACTTTTATTGAAGATAAGTTTAAAAATGTCTTGAATGTACAAACCGATATTTAAAATAATATTCTATAACCTAACATTATTTTTAAGATAGTAAATAGCACGCTTTAAATCTATCTATGTCAACTCATCGTGTTTTACATTCTCTTCTAATAAATTCGGTTTACTCCCTGTTTGAAAAAAAACAAATTATGTTACCTAATTTGTTCTATGTATTTCTCATTTTGATTTTATATTCATGCGCGTATTATTTTTTCGCTCTTGACGTTCTTTTACCTAATGATATTATTTTACTATATTTTTGTGTGCCTATTTTATTTATTTTTATTTGTTGTGTTTTTAATATTTAGTTATATTTTCAGTTTTTATTTAACAAATCTGTATTAATGTCCAAATCAAATTTGTAAAAATTAAAGACGTCAATTCTAAAAGGCTGTTCTACGATAATGGGAACGGCTGAAGCCACTGCAGTTATAGGTAATTTAATGTATATCTGTAAGCAACGATTAACCATTGCTAAAGAAAAGACGAGATTCTGAGCGGAGTTCGGTTGATAGTTTTAATTTTTCAACAATGTATATGTCATGTTATGGCAAATAATTAAATAAATTTATTTAATATTATACCTATTTTCCCGTTTTTCCTACGTTCTTCATGGTGTTTCCCATTTATTGGGAAAACTCATAGAAAAATAAAAAAATAACCTCTTTAAAGTATCTTCCCAGTCGGAAAAAGTGTTATCATTGAAAATCTGAGCAAAATTGCTAGTAGAAAAGTTGTCTGCGGAAAAAAAATAAACATTGTAAAACCAATATATTCCTTGCTCCGCTCAGAATCTAACAAATGGCCTGGCCGATCTCATGAAAACTTTACGCTGAATCCAAATCTGTTTTCAGAAATATAATCATTTACCTGCATCGACTTATACGACGAATAAAAAATTGAATCACTACACTACAATGTACGTGTAGAAAAATCAAAGGAAAAATCTGTCAGTTTCGAAACTTCTAATTAGCAACTTTTTTATACGAATGTCGAAATAATTGAGCAAAATAGTATAAACGTTTTAATTTTATGTTTTAATAAAGTTATTTTCAAATTATACACATATATACAGTGACGTATTTATTACTCGTATTTTTTTTTTTTTTTGGGGGGGGAAGGATGTATTAATACAATGTAAACGACCAAGTTCACTTAAATCATGCCGAGTCCATTAATATTTTAGAAGTTGTGGTGGGGGAGATCTGAGACTATACTTACCTCCTACTCCAACCGGTAATTATTCTAGACGGATCATAATATACTCGTATATTATTATAATTAAAAACAATTTATCCCGGTGTTCAATTATTTGTATTGTTTTCGTTCGTTTCGTTCGCTAAACATTAAAATTCAAACACGAACAAAAATAACGCCAGAAGATAATTCACCCTAACCCGCGAATTCAATAATTGATTTCAAACGATTATTAAAACTATACGAGTGCGCGAAGGCAAATATTATGCTTTAACTTTCCAAAGTACCGTCCATGTACGATAATATTATAATTTATTATTTATAAATTCAGCGAACGAAAAGCGGTCTTAAAATATACTATCTCGAAAAGAATGTATTAAAACCGAAAGAAAAAAAAAACACATCATCGAATTCATTTGCCGTTATTCAAATTGATACGTTTTAATAGAGCTCTCGGGTCGTTCGGCGAGTATCTATATTACGAGCAGTTCGATTTATGATTCGGATGAATGCATTCGTACACTCGTATATTATATTACATTTAAGTACCTACCGACGTAAATAATATATTCGAATTTCCTGCGTAAATCCGATTTACATTTTGTAGTCTCTACATATTATAATAATAATAATGTATAGTTCGACTCGATATGAATCGCGACAAAACGAAATACTACGGGACATTCGAACGGAATTGAAACGATTGAAAAAAAATCGTCTGGTTTCGCGTTTCTCGTTCTAAAACGCCGGCCACTTATCGCGCGACGCATTCATCGCAGAACTCTCCGACCCAAACACATTTAAAGCAAGTATACCTACTCGGTCAACGTTGCTTTTTATTCACCCGCTGGTTTCAACACCCGATTGATCCGAAACCATAATTATACTGTAATATTATATAGGGCAACCTCCGAATATCGGACACTCTCTGTCACCGACATCTAGTCCACTATATTCAAATGGGGTAAATGTGACGTACGCAGAAAACAAATTTAAATCGATCAGGTGCATACGTAAACATTCAATTCGTTCCCTGCAGACGTTGTTAATTTCATATTCATTTGATACGATATCCCCGATCAAAGTTTTTCCAATTCGAAACTTTTCTGCAATTCCCTACATGAACGTCTGCGTTGTTTCGATAAGCAATCTAAGTTCAAATTTTGACGTAAATCGTTAAATTCACGGGACTTCAAACCATGTTTAATCGTCGAAATTCGTTCAGAATCATTATTCAATGATGTAATATCATTTCGTTAACTTTTTAGGAAAAAAAAAAAAGGGCTTTAAAATGCTCTTTTACACTCGCTGTTATTATCGCAACAGCGGTTAATAATTTTAAGACCAACTTTTCAGGAAGTGAAAATCATTCAACGCGCGCGGTCTCCTTGAAAACGTTTTGATTGTGTAACGAAGCGCACGCGATTATTGCTATTATCTAAATGGTTTTGGCACGTGTCACGCATACCTATTATATTATCGTCCGAGTTTCCGAAAATGGAATAGATATACAGGAAATCCTTGTGGACACTGACTAGGTTTATAAAAAAAAAAAACCAAACAAATCCTCCAACATGCGGGTACCTATATAGGATGATTCACTCAACTGGAAACACTTATTTCGGAAAGTATTAACTTTTTTCGAATTTTTTTTTTTTTGAAAACTTAAGAATCAAATAGTTCTAAAATGTTACGTTATTATTATTTTTTGTATCCTTTATTTTCAGAAGTGAAATAACTGCCTACTTTTGATTTTCAAATGGCAACCTATTTTGAAAATGACTAAAAAATAAACATAAAAAATGACTAAATAGATGGAGTATTATTTAAAACAAAATTTCGGTGTTGAAATTTTTGATTTCCGTCAATCCGTCAATTACTGTTATTATTATTATCGTTTCTCGTAAACAATTTTATCATCTAGTAGGTGTCGTTTTTTTTTTAATTTTTTGATTTTCCTTTTGGTTTTCTTAATAATTAAAATCGATAACAAAATGTCGAGAAACGAGAAAATTCTTTCGTAATAATAATAGCAGTTTATCGTTTTCCGATTTTTGTTTTTATCATTCCATTAAACATTTTCACCAAATACTAATATTAATCGCTTTTTAGACACGATAAAACGTTCTAAGGATTTGAGCTGTTTATACGTATTTTAAATGTTTTAGTTTTTTTTTTTTTTTTTTAATTTGATGGGAAGAAATTGTTTTGACCGATCAAAAACGCCCGATATAAAGTAAATACTTTAAAACAAGATTCGTCATAAGCTGAGAGTAAGTCGTATATAGTACTTAGTTTTTGTTTTATAAACGTTAAAATTCAAACATCGACTATAATCGTATACAATAATTCTCGGCGTTTCCAAACGCATTAAAAACAGAACGTTAGCTCAGAATCTTTTTTTATATATATATATAATCTGTACAATACGATTTACCGCCGTACCGAAGACGTATATACTATGTATATTATATTATAAATAGACGAAATTTAATATACTTTTCGTATTGTTATTGTAGTCCCGTGAATTATTTCGCAACGGATTCTTCTTCGCGAAACGCGCGCCCATAAAATAATCATAACAATAATAATAATAATAATAATAATATTACAATTTCAGACGAGAACGCGTAATAATAATATTATTGCGTTTCGCGATACGCTATACACGTCGTCCCTGATAATAGTATTTTATCATTCCGGCGACGTACGCGCACGTAGACGGCGGGTAAACACTGTATTGTTATTGTGTAGAACACGGCGATACCGCGGTATATCCAACAAATAATGTATTGTACCGCCGTGTTTACCGATTTTTATTATTCTTTTTCGGCGCAACACTATATATACTATGTGGCACGTAAACGTTCGGTCGAGTCGGGACAAATAATCGCGTGACGAATGCAGAATATCCAGCCCGACGAGATCTCTGGCTCCGTTTTGTACGACAATAATAATACGACCGAATCGCTGAATTGATACGGACGCTGCCGGCAACACAATACGCATTATATTGACATTGTTGACGTGAGTTTTTGCGGGGATAAAGAAATATCTTTTTTTTCTCGTATAAATTCGATGCCGGTGTATATATATAAAAAAAAAAATAAAATAAATACAAGGACATACTTCGCACGATGGGTGGGCCGCTATTATTGTTACCAACGGAAAACGATAATGCTGAGTGGTGTTCAGCTGTACACGTTTTGAAAGGCTGTAATATTTATGGTTTTAAAATAGTACGTTTCGTAATTTTCCCGTTTTTTCCTATTTATTATAAAACCAGATACAGGGAAAATCAAAAAATTACCTCCCTAAAGTCGTCCACAGAAAAAAAAAACAATCAATTTCATTGTAAAACCAATACATTAAATTAAAATAATATAGAAACATCAAAACTTAAAAATACAGTACCATCATTTCGATAAATTGATTAAAATGCGATGCGTAATGGGATTGCGTAAAATCCGGATTAGAAATGTGAACAGACGGGATGTAATATAATAACAATACAGTAAACAACGCGATTCAAATTTGACTGATAACTGTAAAACCAAATAAATACGTACCTAAGAAAATAATACAGCCAGGAGTGTTATTGCGTGGTTGAATTTCATTTTCGACCGATTTCAGTCGATTTATATCATCATCAAAGCAAAAATAAAACACGACTGAATTTAAAAAAAAATGGCAAGTTTTTACACCAGTCGTTA